CAACCACGTCAGCCCATACCAGGACCATGATTCCGCCGCAAGACTCGACATGATGCTGGTTTGAGACGCATCTACGTCTTTCGAGTTCATAGGGGTTACCCAAAGAGTTCCTAAACTAGAATTTAGAACAGAGATTTGGCCCTAGATGGGCATATACGAAGAAACGCAGCAACCAACATAGTGGGTTGTGCGACATTAAGCCGCCAGCAATAAAGTAACTACTTGACGTGATGCCAAGGGCTTCCCACCTGAGTCCAGGGGGGAAGAACGAGGGCCCACGAGGACGACGATCTTGGAACTGTTTCTTGGTCGTTTCGGGACTGATTTTGGACCCATGGTTCTGGTGAACCGAGGTCTCTTCACAGTCTAGCGCCGTGAAGATTTTAGCCGAAGCCACTTGAGCATGGCTGCTGCGCAATCAACACCCAGTCTCCTCTGTATAAACCCAGGAGTAGTTGGCAGTACGGACAATTCGGTATCAATTGACTACTACTACAACAAACACCAGCAATATTAGGCAGAGCTACCCCGGATCCACGAAGGCGCAAGTGACCCATTTCCCCCTTGGATCGCACCGGAAGGCCCTGCGTCCCGTGTCCCGCCGTCCCGCGATTCACGATGGTGTTGTTCATGAAGCAAACCCACATGCCACCAGACTTCTGCACGAGGCCCTGGAAGCAGCTGGTGGAATCCTGGCGGGTTACTGCGGCGAAACACGATATTTGTCCTTAGCTGGCGGTGTCATTTTTTCCAACGTCTTGGTAATCCTCCATGTAGGCCTGTTTATCGCACGATTGCCCGGGTAGCCAATTTCGTGCTGCAAACTAGTTGACCTGTATCACAGTGGCTGTGGCTGAGAGAAACTACCAGCCTGGCATGTATTGCGACAGTCGTCGAGCCATGTCAGCGGGGCGAGCGATATGCTGTCCGCTGCGCCGGCAGGGACCAACCGGTGCAGCGAACAGGCCAGCAGGGGGTTCGGTGGCTTCAACGAAAGACATTGGCTTGTAGACGACGCCAGCTCCTTTCAGCCAGGCCTTCAGGGATTGCGCAAGAAGTCAACTGGTCATGGTTGGTTGTGAAGAGCCGGGGTGAGAGCGGATGGGCGAACCTCGACCACGAACTACGGAGTAGGTGCTGTTTATGGAGCAGTTATACCTGCCATTCATTAACACGTCAACCATGTCCAATAGATCGAGTTCGGCCGGCGCAACATGTTGGCATGAGACACCTTGACCATCAGAGGCAGAACTAGGTAACTGCATGCTAAACCATGTGAGGTGCATCAATCAAATGGTTTCAAACGCTAACCAAGGATGTAAACAGGCGTCCGGTATCAAGAACAGATGGAGAGGAACAGCTTTGGAGTACTCCGTAGTTAAAGAGTAATCACCTAAATGTCGCCGTCTATATAAATACATACAAATGCAATAACACTAGTAAAAAATTTAGATCTAAGCTAAAATGCTGTAACGGCGCCTTATCAACTGTCCGCTAATCCAGAATGGCCATTTGACACCTGTCAGCATGCTAAATACTTGCGGAATATTCGGAACGACTGAGGATGCGTCGAGCGGGAGAAAGCCCCAGAGGAAGCCACATTCTACGACTACAATCCAATTGTATATTGTACAAAGAGACATCCACAGAAGCCACTTTCCGTTGACCTTGGTCATTAGTTCAAATCGAAAGTGGAGTTTGCCAATGTTCATCCAAAATCGCTCACATTGGCCGCCACAAGGAGGACTGGTTGGCTGGCAAGCTGGGTTCTAGAAAATGTGCTGGTTCAGCAAGTTGTCCGCGAAAGTCCAGTCCCAGATTTCTGGTTCTGGAGCCCTAATAGCGTTCTTTGACTCCTCCACAAGTTATGACCTCCAACTTGCCCCTTGGAGCCAACACCCTGTCCAAATCAGCCACCGACGCCCGAGTCACTTAGCCGGACCTGGCACGCGAACGACCGGATCAATAGATGCTGGCAAAGGAGCATAATATTGGCCCGTGATTGGAAAAGTGGCCACACAGCTGCGGGCGAAAATCACCATTCAGTTCAGCCTCTGAGCCGCCCTTGGCGAAGTCCACGGTAGACTTGGCTCAATTGTCCCCAGCCATCAATAATGGGGTAAAAGCCGGCAACGAGCATGGTCCCCCAGACCCAAACGATTGATACAAGTACCCATGCTACAAAGAACGACTGGCTAAAAACGTAGTTTGCCGCATACATTGGCAAAGGCCTAAAATGGTCCAGTGTTAGTCAATGTCATGAGGCACAGGTATTTACGACTTACCAGAGAACCCAGTGTCCTAGAAATGTTGCTAAGCTCCAGACTGCTGCAATGGTTCCCCAACGTTTCAGCTTGGCCTTGTCGGCGGCATAGCTCTGAATGTATTCATCGTGTGTCTTCGGTTCTTTTTTGTCCGACTCTGATGCCTCAGCTACACTTGCAGATGAGGTATTAAAGGCCAGTCTTTCGTTCCGAAAGAAAGCCCAATCAAAATTGTCTGGCCTTATGATTGTAACAACGACCGAGTACAAGGCTGGACTGAAGGCAGAGGCGACTGTTCCATAGACGCAAGGTAACGTCTGCCCTGTTGTGGCGACACTGATTTCTCCGTAAAGGGCTGCCGCTGAACCTAGCCACACGCCGATGCCAGTTGCCATTCCTAATATTGGCGAACTTACAGCAGCCAGCTTGGATTGACGTTTCCACAGAATTGTGAATACAGTTGGGATGATGCCGGGGCAGGTCAATACACCAAGCATGTAAAGAGTCCAGCCAAGATCCACATTGCCATAATGCAGTGCTGTCGAGAAAGCCGCCGAGAAGATGCCAAACGCAACAACGCCTATATGAGTCCATCGGATGGCATCGCTGTCTCTGGCATCTTTATTGAAGTATTGCCGATATATGTCGAAACTGATGATGGAGGACACTGAGATAACTTGGGCACTGATTGTTGATGTAACCGCCATGAAGGTAATCAACACCACTGCAACGGCACCACCCTTGCCAGCGATAGCGACGGCGGCATACGGAAGAACTAGGCCGTTGGAGACTTCTGTAGGTGACAAGCGTCGAGGGAACGTTGGAAAACGCTCTGTGCCCTCCAAGCTCAGTGCTGCGAAACTCATGATGGTCCCGAGACACCACGGGATGGCAAAGTATGCGATTCCACCGACGATGTACCCAGGTACCACGGCGTGAGGCGCAGCACTAAATGCCTTTGCAAAGAAGCCCGTGTCCATGATGACAAGCCCAAAGTTGGCCAGGATATGGATTATACCAAATAGAATAGCCTGTCGTGTCCCGCCGGTTAGTGACATTGCAATCCATACCTTGTCGTCGTCGCCGCCTCCAGTGAACTTACCCCTTTGCTTGTCATGGTAAGATATGAACCGTCTCGATTACCGTCAACGGGATGGATTTGGCCAGCCTTGGCGATGATATCGAACAGATCTTGTGGACTCCCAATCTCAGGCACCAAAAATACCTTGATTGTGAAGAAACAAACAATTACTGTGATGACAAACGTGTGGAAATAATCGGTTAAAAAGGTTGCCTTGATGCCTCCAACAAAGGTGTATAACACAACCCCAACGGGCAATAGAAACGTAGCAGCAATAATATGCATTCCGGTACTACCCAATCAGAGTGTTAGAGCTTTAAATCTACAAGTCCAAGGGTGGTACAGTTTGAACATGTACCACTTACAGAGCGGAAATGGCGGCACTGGCGCCAAGAAGCATATTTGCTACAGCGATGATGTTGTTGATCAAGCACAGCACAATCCAGACCACATGACCCTGTGTGCCATATCTGATTCTGACAATTTCTAACAATGTATGAGCTTCCGGAACTCGGAGCTTGCAGGCGATGCCGAGCAAGGAGAAGAATACAATCATTGGTGAGCAGCTATAGAGTTGTGAGCCTAACGACGACTGTGCAACTTTAGGCCGTCTCTAAAAGCAAAACTCACCCTGCGGCAAACCAAAATGGACCGGCGACGCCAAAGTTGTAGCCCACAAGAGTGCTCCCAAGCATCGCGGTACTCCATAGCCAAGACGAAATTACAGCTGATGCTGTTAGTCCTGTGCCAACTCTCCGATTGGCCGTCATGAACATTTCTGTTTTATTGTTGTCTTCCCCTGCAGTCTGCTTCAATACACGGGTTATTGCCATCATGATGAGTGCGATCAAAAAGCCAATCACAATGACGATAACATACCCAGCAGATTGTGGTAAGGGCGGCTCAACGGTGCTGCCGCTATCACCGACGCCATTTCTCCTTAAAGGAAGCATAATTTTACGGCTTCCAAGCGGAATGAAGAGATGAGAAAGCCGGAAAAAAAGCCTGTAGATTTGCTACAGCGGCGCTCGATCGATAGATGGCAGGGCCGTGAGTGTCTTGAGAGATGTGAAGCGACGGATGGATCTACCCTACCGCGGAATGGGCATCGGACCCCGTCTGTCAGTTGCCAACGGGATACATTGTTATATATTCTCGTTTCCTCTCTTTACTAGTGATACACTGACGTTACAAGTCGTACTCTCCCCGCATTACCTCTCCTCTTAATTGCGCAATATCGGCAGTTGAGGCATAAGACTCATTGTTTCAGCCGTGACTGAGTTGCCGAGACTAAGAGCCATGGGCTACGAATAACCATCTTGATAACAGACTAGTTTGTAGAAATAACATTTAGAGCAGACCTGGCTACGTATTCTTGGCAAATGTATGGAGGTAAATGCCGTGATTTGATCAAAAGTGCCGAATGATTGGCCAGGACTGCTTGATCTCAAGTGCAATGACATGGTAGTCGTGATCGATGGCGCAATCTGGTTGTACAACAACGTGATGCAAGTGATCGGACATGGCGCGACTTGGACGGCGCGGCCCAAAGAAAGTATAGAAAAAATATCGAATTCTATTTAAAAACCAGACTGCATGACCACTCGATCTACAGCTCCAAGTAATTGCTAACCACGGCAACGCATCGTCGCAATATGGCAGACTTGAATGGGGGATCGACTAGCTCACCAAAGAGGAAACTCATTATAAATGCGTTTGTGGAGTCTTGCAGTGGCCATCAATCTCCCGGGCTGTGGCAACACCCAGAGGATAAATCGTCAAACTTCAACAATGTGTCCCATTGGGTTGAACTCGCGAAGCTCCTCGAAAAGGGCAAGTTCCATGGTATATTCATAGCCGACGTATTGGTGGGTTTCTTCCATATTTTCTTCCTCTTCTTGCCCGCTAACTGTTTCTCCGTCAGGGATCCTACGACGTATACAAAGGTCCAAAGAATCCCGACCCTGCGGTCGTGTCCGGAGCTCAATGGCCTGTTAATGAGCCAATCGCGGTTGTTCCTGCCATGGCAGCGGCAACAAAAAACATTGGCTTTGGGGTAACCGTAGCTACTACCTATGAACAACCCTATCACCTGGCCAGGCGCTTAAGCACAGTTGATCATCTCACTGGTGGACGCCTGGGATGGAACATTGTGACCGGCTACCTCGATTCTGCGGCTCGAAACCTAGGATTCACGGAACAGCCGCCGCATGATGAGCGATACGCCATAGCAGAAGAATATGTCGATGTAACCTATAAACTCTGGTGCGTTAATGCCAACCCCAAAAATTGCTAAAAAGAGCATCGCCAGTGCTAATTATATCCAGGCAAGCCTCATGGCGGGACGATGCAGTGAAGCTCGACCCCAAAACCAGAGTATACACTGATCCATCACTGGTCCGAACAATCAACCATGCGGGCAAATACTTCACCGTACCGGGACCGCATATCTGCCAGCCATCGCCTCAGCGGACGCCCTTGATCCTGCAGGCAGGAACGTCAAGTGCTGGCAAGGCCTTTGCTGCCAAGAATGCAGAAGCAATATTCGTTGCCGGCCACAGCCCTTCGACAATCGCCAAGAACATTGCGGATATTCGACAGCAGGCTCAGACGCAGTTCAACCGTGACCCCAGCTCCATTAAATTCTTGACACTGTTCTGTCCGGTGCTCGGAAAGACGCAAGAAGAGGCTGAAGCCAAGTACCGTGAGTATCTGAGCTACGGCTCAGAGGACGGTGCGTTGGCGCTCTTTGGCGGCTGGACTGGAATTGACCTCGCCAAATATGGAGATGACGAGGAGCTGCGACATGTCGAGTCGAATGCTATTCGCTCGGCGGTCGACGCATGGTCCAAATCAACGCCAGAAGTTCCCAAATGGACCAAGCACACCGTTGCAAATCACATCAAAATAGGCGGACTCGGTGCCACGGTAGTTGGCACACCCGACAAGGTTGCAGACGAGATGGAGAGATGGGTGGCTGAAGCCGACGTAGACGGATTTAACTTGGCTTATGCCATTCTTCCGGGGTCATTTGAAGATGTAATTGAGCTTCTCCTGCCGGTTCTGCGTCAACGGGGCTTATTTTGGGATGACTACGCAGTGGAGGGAGGCACTTACCGAGAGAATCTGTACGGGAAGCCTGGACAAAAGATTCCCAGGGAGGATCATCCGGCTAGCAAGTACCACTGGAAATCCGGGCATCAGCCGGCTCTTATATCGCAAAACTAGGTGGAATTAGCATTCTTGGCAGCAAAAAACATCCATCTCTGAGGAGACAGGGTTATGCGATTGCTGTGCAAAAGCAGGATGCCAGGCATTGGAAACAAACCTTGATATCTGTCACATGCAGCCTGATCAGACTCAAGTCACCATGGGCTTCTTCGAACGCCTTGTATTGTCTTTGTCAGGTTCCGTTCGAGTTCAAGGGCTATAGTTGGCCTCCGAGTTCATGTGTAGTGTGGCATATGCTGTGTTATTTGCTGTGTGCAGTGATGAACTGTTATTTACTCATGGTTTTCGGGGTACCCTAAGCCCTTTTTATATCGAGCGGCATCGGCCAATATATCCCAAGAAAGTGCATATTCTGATAATTAAAAATATATAAGGCTTCGCCCGAATGACTGAAATGAAGGCACTTTTCCGCAGCAAAACAAATCCCGGTTCTATCCATATATTTACTGCATCGTCCACAGGGCCGGGACCTCTGTGCACGAATAATGCCTCGGCGTTGTCTAAATGTTCTTGGACTAATAGAGGTAGAGTTGCAGTCCTACCATGCTCGCTAAAATGATGTATATATGAGAAACGATGACCTTGCCGGCGGCGTTGTCCTTCTTTGGAGCGGATTCATTCGTATTGGTATTATTTGTGCCAACCGGGGTGGCAGAAGTCGTTTTGTTGGTTGTCTGCTCTGTCGACGTCGCCGACGTTGTGGTAGTAGATGTTGGTGCCTGCGTAGTCGAGCTCGCAGCCTTGCCAAACGGAGCAACGATACATTGCTTCATCAATTCGTTGTCGGTCCAAGCATCACCGGATTTAGAGGGCGTGAGGGTAAGCACATACGTGCCGTCGAATCCGCCTGCCCCCCAGCCAACAAACCCTACGAGAACGTCATCATTCTTGGCAATGAACTCGTTTTGCTCACAGAATTTAGTCATGCACTTTCGACTTGTTAGCATTGCCGCCTGCAAGCAGTGAGGTGGTCTGTTTGGCCGTGGCTACTTACGGATTGGTCCATTGATGCACCAGACTCCGACACGAGACCGAGGCGTTTGTTCTTACGCAACCACTCTGCAACGGTCTTGAAGCCTGCCACATTGTTGGTGGTACACTTGGCATAGGTGCCGGAGTTGTTGATGTCCAAGTATTTGTGCAGATCAAGCAACAAGTTGTCTGTCGAACCGTCAGGATTCGTAATTTCGGCAAGGGCCTCGGCACTTCCAGTAGACACGAATGTCTCGGCGCTTGCGAAGTTGGTTCCGGGGAGGAGGATGATTTGCGACTTGGCACCGGCTTTTCGGATTGCGGTGACGGCAGCCTGGCAGCTCTTGGCCCAAATCTTGATATCCAGATCGTGAGGCTCATTCATGAGACCGAAGATAATTTTGTCGTTTTTCGCATAGTAAGTCGCGAGCTGCTTCCACAACCCGGCGAAAACCTCGTCAGTCGGGCCCCCTTGGCCGATAATTCCACCGTCGTATCGCGCAAAGTTATGGAGATCAAGCATGCAGTATGCACCGGTGTCCAGACAAGCCTGAACTAATTTGTCAAAATTGCCAAAATTGATCTTGTCCAACCCGCCGGAGGGCTGACCCGCCGTGATATACTGCCAGGTCATGGCTTAAGTCGCCAATGAATTAGCAAAGCAAGGGCGAAGAGATGAACCAATGCACGGGACACTTACAGAGTCGAAACGTGTTCATGCCATCGTCGTCCACAAAGTGCTTCATCTGACCAGCAGAGTCGGCGCCGCCCAATGATGCAAGGGGCACTTGGACGTGGTCGCCGGGACATGAGCCCTGTCCTCCACGGTCAATAATGAGCCCCTGTCATCGTCCACTCGTGTTGCCTTACATCAATGTCGCAGCCAAAGTCTATACCAGCCATAGCAGCCCCCTGATCTTGTAGGTTAGTTGAGAAACGTCGATTGTCAAGTCAACACTTGCTGTAGCTCACAGAGGGTGAAACATACCAAGTACTTCAACTTGCCCATGACTCCCGCAGACATGGCCAACAGGCCGGTGAGCCATGCGCGAGTGTGCATCCTTTAACCGCCAACCAAGTCACGCGAATCCAAGATCGACGAGTGAAGGTGACGCAACCCAATGAGTGACAGCTCGTGGCAGCTCGGCGACAGCTAATCGCTGATGATGCTGGGCAACCCGCTCGCGGAGGTTTGGGCTAGTGACGTAAACCTGAAGCAAAGCGTTTTGGCGCAGGTCAAAGGTCTATTCGCATCGTCGGAAACTACACGAAACAATCAAAAGCGAGACAAAGGCCAATAACGAGTGGATGGGCGAAATCAAACTCAGGGACGATTGCAAGGATTCAAGAAAAGGGGTTGAGAGCCCATTTATTAACTAAAAAGTAACTGAAAGCACGGAGTCGACGGATTGCCCTCGTGTTTTTTTTAAATTAGTGCGTCGACCTCCGTATTTTATAAATAACCCGACTCTACGAGTGTCTCTCTTGGACCCATTGAACCCGTCTGACAGCTAGTGCTTGGCAACGGCGATGGTAGCAGGCTGTCAAATGAGTGCCAATCAAGAACCAACGCCACGTCGGATGGTGGGCCAATCCATCAATGTACCAAGAAGAACTGCCTCGGAATGTCCTCAGTATTCCGAGTAAACAAAGCAAATCATTACCGTTTGACGTTTCAGTAAAGAAAAAATGGCTGTGGCTAGGTCAAAATTCCAGAGTTGCCGACCCGGGCTCCGTACGTTCCTGCGAAACAACGCAACGTGAGACTCGACGCTGATTCATTCCAGGGGTACATGCTGATTCAGACCCCAATATTGAGTCCCTGTAATGGCTGGAACAGGAAGCGCCGAGAAGGGGATGCAAAGATTGCGCTTTAGTATGAGAACGATCCCTAGAGAGTGATTTCTAACGCCTAGCCTGCGCCATCGACGAAGCAGTTGCGACGAAGCAGTTGGACTGATGTCAAAGGATGGAGCAACAAACGTACGTAATAAATGCCTGATGAAAATAACGCTCGGCGCGAGACTCCATTCACACGAGGCAATGGCCACCAGGTGGAGCCTTGGGATGCTTACGGGGCGAAATTACTCGTATTAAACGGTGATACTAGTGCTCAGAGATACACTACTCCGTACCTGGGTACTTTCGGAAACGAGTATTGAGACGAAAAGAGGTGAGGACCATGTTGCTTTCCTACCGCAGTCACAGGAAGCTGAAAAAAATCGAGGCATTCTGCGTCGTCATACAGCCAATTAGCTGTCGGGGCACTGTCAGTCGCCAAGTACTTCAAAGCTGGGCACTCAGCAATGCTACTAGCTGTGCAGAAAGGCTGCGATGACATGGCCTGAGCAACCAGACGACGAGAACATCCGACTCTGACTGGAGCTTGGACACTTGGCAGAGTCCTGGTTCGTGGACGGGGGCTGGCAGAAGAAAGATCTGGGCAGTGTCCCTGTCTTGCGGGAACGAACCGCGTCGAAGTGGCGTTTAGGCTGGAGACACTAGAGACTTGGACCTCTCAGCCACGAATACATATATGTAACGTATCCGGGCGTTCAGGAGCCGCTGTGCTGTAACTAGGGCAGGACCCCTAGACGATCTGTTTAGCTCCATGATGCTAGGTGAGCAGTTGAGCATGCGACCGAAACACCACCACGAGGGGCAGGGACAAGGAACAGACAGTCAATGTCGGGCTGGCGTAGTTTCCTGCTGTTTGCATGGTGGTTGCCGTATCACCCGATTACATCAATGTAACTAATTGGCATGCCATCCATCGAAAGGAACCGGGCTGTCGGCTGGTCCTACGAAACTTGAACGGGACACGTCAAACCAACATTGAGAATACATAGGTACCTATGTTGGTGGTGACACCGACCGTGGTGCTGTCTGCCTGCCTGTGTGGCGTCGGGCGTCCCAACTTTCATGTTTGCAAGGCATTGACCGACATTGGTCACGCAAAACAACACTCGAGTGTCATGATTCTTGACATGGCGATATTTGGTGCCGCGCAGTCTGGCCTGATCGGTGCTGCTGCTGAGCTGATGATGGCGGCGAACAAACACGTTTCAACGCCGCCTCGGACTATTTTCATCTCAAAGAGCGACTTGACTGTTTTAGAGCTGGTGTTGCACCATCCCCAGCCTACGCAGATGAACAACCAGAGGCACACCCACCTGCCGACTTCGATACTACAACAGCCTTTACGCATTTATCGTTGGAGAAGCACATTTCAGGAAGAAAACTCACAGTTGATACCTGTCTCGCCCACTTGAGACTCCTCCACGCCATCCACAACTTGAAGGAGGAAGTGGGCTACTCTGACGGTCTTTTCGGCTTGTACGACAATTTCGCGGACGATGTTGCTGCTGTACTAGACTTGGATGCCATCCTTGCTATGAAGGGAATCGTGATTGAAGATGCGAAAAAATTAAAGCTTGCTCTGAACAAGATCCGTGAAAAGGGATGGTCAATGATTGTCGCTCGTGCAGTTGATCGAAATGAGACCTGGTGGATGGTCTTTCGAGGCCAAAATTATCTCACAGAGGACATGATGCGCGAACCTGCATCAGAATTGTACTCCAACTTTCCGATACTATGTAAAGACCCTCGAGGACTTGGACAAGACATGCCTCCGCCTCTAGGTATGCGCACTCGACGTGGGATCCAAAAGTTGGGGCTAACTGTGAAGTTGCCAAGACGTGCTCATGGTATTTCATTCCCATATGCTCAACTTCAAGCATTTCTGGATGGTTCCATTAGCAGTTAAATGAAGGACCTGTGGCAAGAGGGTGTGCTCTGGCCTCTTGCCAATGAGGCAATCGACACAAACTTCGACTACTCCGTCTCTGAAGGTCGCCAAAACCGTTGGATGCAGGCAACCGGTCGATGCTGGGCCATTGCCGACGATCCCGTGGTCAAGATCATCAAGTGCCCTCACTGCAAGTCTCCCAACCATATTCCGTGGACAACCTGGGGAGACGAAGAAAAGACCAACAGGGAAGATGGGTTTGTCGCACACGGGCACCTGATTAGATATCGCAGTCAAAACTAATATTCGCTCAGATTATCCGGTCTTGTTGGTAGTGGGATATGGGGACGGTAAGTTGGGACATCAATATGCTGCTTGCCATGGCTATATTGCAAAGAGGCCTTGTCTATTCGTAAGTTTGTGCATGACGCGGCATTGCATCTTACCAGGTCAGTACCAATGCCTGGGACAATCCTCGATCCGCAAAAGGGCATGCCAGAGCCTTAATCGTGCGGGCCTCAGGAAAGTGTGAATCCAAGAACGTTGATCCAGCTCGACTTGCGAATCAAAATCCAAGATATCTTCAAGTCTCACAGAGACCCAACGATGGAGACGGTCAAACCTCTTGTCGAAGGAGTATTGCGTGACCCGGACCGACACTGTCGCATAGACTCATTGCCCCCCGGTTCGAGGCTTCTGACCGAGATTCCTCCAACGTCTCAAACCCGCGTTCAGAAGATGATCAGTCAATACTGGAAGAATTTCTCGGCATTCGCCTTGGACTTGTGCGGAGCCGTGATGCGCCAGGGCCTTTTTGTCGACAAGATGGTCAAGCTGGATTGGCTTCACAGCCCCTCGGCACGAGATACAATGGCGCGACTTATCACAAAATACCATAATTGCATGAAGTTGATGGAGCTTCATCCAAAACAAGTTGCTGTCTCTACGCTGGATGTTGACCTTGCCTGGTAAACACGTCAGCTCATCCCTCCTTACTATTCCGACACGACAAGCGCTACATCCAAGTTCATTGACCATCATGACAAAGTTGATGAAGTCAAGCTCAGTGAAGCATTCGAATAGACATCCAAAACGTATCGGAGTTACTTCATGAATTGTACAGCGAATGCACTTGTTGGTACTGCGAAGGTATGTCCGGTCACACTCCAGTCCCAGCTTTTATATGTATCAATTGTGCCCATACTGACTCTTCTTTTGGTCTAGCCACCCGTGCACCGCACGCGTCCTCCAGCTTCTGGCGCTCACTTTTTAGAACCTCGAGTGGTGATAAAGTTGCAGAAGGATTTCACCAATCTGGAAGAGCCGGACGCTGTCCACCGGATAACTCTGCTCACAACGCAGTTCGTTCCGTGGAATGGTCTACAAAGATGGCCTGGGCCAACCTTTGCCTTCATCAACAATACTTCCTTGAGAAAAACTACCAAAAGGCTGTGGAACGCGCCCAGAAAAGGGCCGTGAGCTTCCTCCGCCCAAGGACTATTATGACCATTGGGGCTATTCATATTTCAGTACGTGTCACAACCCCTCTTCATCTTTCAGTAAGCGACAATGCTCTTGAAATGCTAAACGGAATTCAGTGTATTCCCCTGCAGTGTATCCGCTGTATCTAGCACCGGGGATGGGAACCAGGCTATGTCCACACAGGTGCCGGTGCTTGGGGACTGTGTGCCGCTGGAAGCTGCGGTAGAGGAGGCATAGCGGCCGGACAGTGTGGGAATGCTGTTTGGGGGGGAGCGGTGGTAGAGCAGTATGTCCTGTCCATGGTATATCTTCCAATGTTTTTTTACTAATAGTGGTTACCAGAGCTGCGGATCTGGAACTGGAGGCTGCGGTACTGGTTATCCATTGCGCATCAGTTACTCTCACTGAATTCTTTGCAATATTCAAGGCCCAATCGCGAAGTCCTCGTCCTCTTTTAGTTGCAACGCTGCTTCTTTAAAGTGTTTGTGCTGTTCAACCTAGCGCATAGACACCTTGAAATCATGGTATTTGGCACAGCAGGATGGGTTTCTTTCATGGCATTACACAAGTATTTGACCAATTGGCACAAGTAGCGACATCACCAGTGGAGCGCATTGCAGAGTCCGTTGAGGAGATTGAGCAAAGATTTCGCGAGAAAGCTGCAAAGGCTGTAGAGAAGAGAGCCAAAGCGTGCGCGGTTAGGTAACTAACACGGCCGAGAGTATGAGCCGTGAGCTAGAAGAGCTCGGCCCCAATTTCGATGAAAAGCTTCAAAAGGTTATTGACTAGGTTATCTAGTTTGCTTCATCTGCTGCCGAAAAGGCACAGACATCACCGAGGCAGCAGTCAATGCTGCTGGGGAGATCGCCGTCAAGTAGACCACACACTTAAACAGCGGCTATCAATACTTCAAGGAGTTGATAGAGAAGCACGGAAAGAGAATTGCTTTGGGTGTTTAACTCTGCTCTCGCATTCTGCCAGGTCTAACATCTGCCCTTTCTATATAGTTGGAAGCCCCGAGCAACACCAATCCGTGCCGTGATGAGGAAGCACGAACTCTTTGAACTCTGGCCTCCATGCGAGGAATCTTGCTCGAATTCCTGGACAACAAGGATGACTCACCAGCTTGCTGCACTTGCCCGGCATGTTTGAGCCCGAAAGGGCCAGCACCAGACCAAAATCAGGTAACATAGCCCGGCTTACTTGGTACAGTGATATACGGAGTGATCTACGGACGAACTTGGTGGACAACAGCGCGTCCAGATCAGTGTGATATTTTTGGTCTCTGCAGGCTTCGTTGCTATGATCAGCGCAGTAGACAAGCATGCGAAGCCGTATAAGCCCCGTCCCCCTAGACAGCCCCTTCGTGACCAGCCCCTACAGATAGATGCAACATTAATGAAGAACATTTGATGAACTTGGGTCGCATATGCTACCTCTATCAATAGGGAATGGCCTGGTGTTTGCAGAAACTAAGAGGGTGTCTCGTGACAGCTAAAGTTCAGGGAGGATGATGGCGTATGGAGAGCTGTAAATGCGTGAACACAGCCATACAAGGGACTCACAAGGTCTGGTTAGGGAGAAGGGGTGATAGTAGGAGGAGTTTTGTGGTGTGATATAGGTGAGAAGTCTCACTAAGAGCCATCAGCCACCATAGTTTGAAGACGTTGATGAGTCACTCGTTTCAATTGCCAGATGGGATAGTAGCGCCGCAACGGTTCCTTCTAATACCTGTCGTCGCAATGGCGCAAAGGTCATGAGTGCGTAACACTTGATAACATGAAGCCTTTGCACTACCCTTTGAACTTTGGTTGTATCAAAACCTCGGGGTTGCCACTGGCAGATTCGCACAACTTGGCTACTCGTTCAGATGGAAGATGGTCATAAGACCGGTCTCTTAGATGATAGCCCATTAGAACAATTAGAGCATCAAGAAGAGCACCGGGAAATGGCTGCGGCCGTAAAGGCGTCAATACAAGTTTTGTCCATGTTGAACGCGCAGTGAAATATAGTGCTTCCAGAATCTTCCGTCTACCACCGTGGATGCTTGCGAATTCTTGCCTAAACTAATGGCATTCAATAAAGGGTCAATTGCGTGCCACCATACCAAGTGTTGATTTCCTGCGACTGTTTGCCAACACCACAATATGTACAATACACCCGCTCGGCCATTCCGCCGCATGGAGTCTAGTGGATCTTATTCGCTCTGCAACACCACCCTACAGGCGGGTGGCCGATGACCAAATATATGTCAACTAGCAAAGGTTCATTCTCAAGAACGATCATTGCGAAAGAACAGCGAATAGCGAATACCGTAGTTGCTAGCTTCATTCTCTTCTTCTCTTCTTCTTCTTCTTCTTATCTTTTCTTTTCTCGCATTGGTAGTTATATTAAGCACCAATCCGAAATGTCAACGGTACTATATCTATTATAGGGCAGGAACATGTCGAATCGGATGGGCGGGATCGACAACACATAGATTTCATACAGGCCCACCCTCCCTTGTCAGATAGCTCGCTTCGCTATTGGTCTTTAACGCACAATCGCCTGATTGTCTTGACTCGAGTGCTAGGCAAGATGAACGTGCATTTCAGGTTCGTGTAGAACGCTGGTTACCCGGGGGGAAGGCGGAAATTAACCTTTGCTATCATCATCGCAAGAGGGATCAATTCATGCTTTACAAAGCTGTGCATCCCTCCAGCTTGTACTCTGTGATTATATTTCCTTTTAAAGTCGAGCTGCTCTGGATAGACGTTCGGCCATAAACGGCCCAATATGCGCGCTGTCGGGAAAATTGGAGGCGCATCCCCTGGGACCCAGCCAGGCGATATGGCAATCGAGGGACGAACAAGGGGTACAGATTGGCTTGTCAGGGCTATTCGGGCAATTGGGGTTAGGTTAGTAACAGGACAAGTTTGTACAAACCAGCGTTAAGGCACCAAGAATTGTCAGTCATGAAAAGCTTTCACTTGGTATGATGCCGCGAATATTTGTTCAAGACCGCCCGGCAGGCTGTCTACAGCTAGGAAACCCACGGCCGCCGTTGTGCTCCCATAGTCATTCCATCTCCCAATAAGCACCAGACTTCTTACTCGTATGGCTTGGTTCTCAAATTGACAAGTTCACTAGCGCGAGCGCAATTACGCACCAAGTGGCTCAGTCATTGACCCCAATCCATAGCTCATGAGATGCCGGGATAACAAGACTTGGCTACTGGGACTCTGGCATAGCATAACCAATCACCACACCAGCGGACACGTTTAAAAAATTCTCAAATGCAGGTACGGAGTGGTACGTACATACATACGTACATATCTCTCTTGGGGAAAACCGCGCCTTTGCCAAGAACCAGGGCAGATCCTGGCAATCAATTTTCATGCGCCGGGTCCTCAACAATAACTTCGGCATCCCGCTGAAAACCTTCCTTACATGACAAAATGTTGCAATGGCAAATTAAATTACATTGTGTTACGCGTACCCCAGCTCGAGTAACCAGCAATTTCTGCTCTGGGGCGCCAGGTTGTATATAATACATAGGCTCTTATATATATACATATACTTGGTTCTAAATGTGCCTGACTGCAATCTTGACAAAGTTGTCGGGTCATCTCTTCGGTCCAACCAAGACAAGATGCGCCCTGTAACCGCTTGGCTACTTGCCATTCACTTTACAGCCTCAGCGGCTGAACAGTTTCGTGTCAAGAAGACCTACGGTGTCGACAACTTCTTTGACTCGTTCGACTTTCGCACCGTACGACCCCATGCATATCCATCTTCGACCGGTAAATGACTTCTTTGGCTAATGGATGGTTGATAGACCGGTGGTAATCCAAATCAGAATGACGACAATTGGTCGTGGGTGAAGTACCAAGATTTACCAAATGCACAGAAAAAGGGTCTAGCCAAGGTCAAAGACGGCGAAATCTACCTGGGCATTGATCATACCAGGGTTCTGAATAAGACGTCTGCCGAGGGACGCGACAGTCTCCGGGTCGTTTCGAAAGAGGCATTCAGGTACGGGTTAGTTATTACTCGTTTTACTCATTTGCCGGAGCTCGTTTGCGGAGGCTGGCCAGCATAGTAAGTGATTTACGATACGAGCCGCATTACAATGCAATAGTAACCATTTTGGCAGCTGGACTCTCGGTGTAGGAGAATGGCCCAAGGCTGGTGAAATCGACATGTATGAAGGCTGGAACCTGGACGTACACAATAAGCCGGCTATACACGTCGGTCCAGCGGCCGAATTTGGGTCATGCACCATTGAACAGGACGATCAATCCGCAGAGGTCATCTCCGGAAATTGCGACAATACCTTCGCCGATAATAAAGTTCAGTGGCCAGGCCAAGGTTGCCAGTCTAGAGAGACAAAAGACACCATTTGGGCTTCCCCAGAGGGAGGAATCCGTAAGTCGTCAACGCCTCCATCTTGTGGTGAGACACGTGCTTACATATATATCAGAGGCCCTGGAGTGGACCAAAGATTACATTAAGCTGTTTACCTGGCCGCATGGCAAGGAGCCCGAGAACCTGGACGACGATGAGCTCGATACTTCGTCGTGGGGCAAGCCGACCGTTCAGATACGCGCCTCGAAATGCGACATTGACGGCATCTTCCAAAAGCAGCAACTCATGTTCACTCTTCCGGTTTGCGGAAACCCACCTGGGAGTGATCAATTTTGGAAGGAGCTAGATGGAGGCAGTGGTAAAACATGCGACAAAGTCACCAGAGAGCCGACATGCATCGACTTTGTTGCCAAGAATCCTCACGCCTTCAAGAATTTTTACTTTCAAATCAAGGACATCCGGTACTTTGAACAAAGGCTCATCAAGCCAACGAACAACACAAGTATGGCGACATCGACGTCGACAAGGTCAATGAACCGCACGAGGACTGTAACGTCCTTGACAACGACAATGTCAATGAACCACACCACGTCCTTGACAGCTACAATGTCAAAGAACCAGACTAGCTTGGTAGCGCCCTCCGCGGTGTCTCTGTCAAAGAACCAGACTCGAATTACCACGGCTACTGCGCCAGGAATCCAAGACGGCCAAAAGGATACCCAAGAGGCTGCAACGGTCACATCGACAGCCTCAATGTCTCGCGTCTCATGTAAACATAAAAGACATGGTTTGCGACACATCTAATAGCTGTTAATCTGCAATTACTTCGAGGTCTGATAGCTCCTGTCTGAGTAGAAAGCACGTGTTCTTGGGAGTGGGACTACATTTCGTATTATTCTAGACATATGGCCCAAGCCGAGCAATCTGGCAATTCTATGTATCATTCATGTAATTATCACTTAGTGTCCCACGAGCCTTATCTCAGAGGTTCGGTTTAGGATTAAAATGGTCTCAGAAAATGCTTGCAGGTTTTGTGATGCTTTGTTGAAATTGTATGCCAACGCGGATTCCTTTGAAAACTCGTATGTAGTTGCTGCGATGATAACATCCCACATATGGCTAAGCTAACTACCGATGTGGCCATCAAATTGTCATCTAAGCCTTGGAAGCCTGAGTGTGGGACAAGACGTATCCTGGATACAGTTTTGGCCAAGACAGATAACATGCTGGCGCAGCCATGCCGAAATGTTCCCGCCATGGTAAGATTGGCAAAGGCATGGCAGGTTGCAATTCGCAAAAGCCACTGCATCCCTTGGAAGTATTCTCAATCCGTAGGCCAGTGTAAAAAGATGCCTGAGCATGCGGTCATTTGCCTCAGCGCAACCGCACCTGATCACGACAAAAACGAAACTCGCAGTATGTTTCTCATCGTTTTCACCTGTAGCGTCGAAGCTGGAATTGAAGCCGGCGAGTGCAAATGTGTTGACATTTGATCCACCTGTTTTGTCATGTCGAAAGCGTTTGCCGTTGATGACCTGGTCTGGTACAGTCTCGTGTGGTTGTGTGGCGCTCCATGCCGCAGTGCGAGAGCGAACACTCGTAGGCACAGCCTGCTGGTAGCCTTTGCGACTTGGCTTTCAGTGTTTAATGTCGGCACTAGAAAGTCTGGTTTGCATGTCAGAGACAGAACTGCTGTACTGAGTAGGAGAGCACATGAGAGCCTACCCTATTGGTCGTGATAAAACATTGACCGTTTCGTAGGTCTATTGTGGACATAGCCCAACACTCCAAGAATTAAAAACTAAAGTAGTGTCGTGTGCGATAATACTTCTATTCCATATCCATAAGCTATCGGCTTTCTCACGTCTCAATGTGGAATTCATAGTGAGTCGTGCAAGGCATAAGGCATGTGCGGGACTAACATCGCAGTGCACCACAGGATACTACAATACACGATCACACCTCATAATACAGCATGTATTTATTTCTGTATAACTATACCTAGATATGGACTGATGGTATTATTCGAGTGCTCATTACGATTGATACGCGAACGAAACGATCTGTTGTCGAATAAGCGGCTAATATTGGGAAAGACTGGGTGCGGGTGACGATGTTGCATCCATTACTCAAGTTCCTTAAACGCCTCAAGCACATTTTCCCACGTGTATTGAAGAGGAATGAGAAGTCAAACCAAGTCGCACGAATGCCCAGAGCGGCTCGAACCTTTGCCTGCAACATCCTTCATCACCTCCTCCGGCCCGACAATCCATCCAACCCGCCATCCAATCATCCGTAGCTCCTTGGCTGACGATCCAATGGTAATGGTTCTCTCTTCCATGCCAGGGAGGCTAGCCGGGTTTGTGACTCCCCGCCCATCAACACAAAGGGGGTATAACTGCTGCCTCATTAGAGCGCGTTCTTTTCGTGATCAGCCTTGTTTACGGGAGACGCAGCGATTTCTGTGAGTGAAGCAATGGCAGGCCAGGAGCATGCCATGTTCAATGTTTGTCCAGTGGAAACGTTGCCTGAGGATTGTGATTTCTATTTGAACTTGTTTTGTTTTCTTTTGTGCGTTCTGGTCATGAGGGGACTGAGTGAAAGGACCAGCGGGCAGCCGACTGTCACAAACAACTGGGCGTATTGCACAATCTCGACAACAAAGCGCCTGGTCGATAAAACATTGCTATACTTCAGATTCAGCGGGCCGTACCTGGTACAATGGCTTGCACGATGGACCAAAGAAAAGCTTGATTGATCTAGAGAAATAGCGTGCACTTCACGACTGCAGCAAGCGCGAAAGAGGATGCATCTCGCAGGCTGCCGGAGCCAAACTGCTCGTCGTCGCCCCTTGCCCAGGCTACATGTATCCATCCATCCATCTATGCCTGCTCAAACGACCAAGCATCACTTCTGGACAAAAATGGAACAACTGGGTCCCCTGTCATGGTGAGCGTCTCCTTGCGTGTCGGCTTTTCTCTTGCTGGCCCCCTTCCCGGGTATGCCAGGCCGCAGACCAGAAACGCAAAGGGTTGCCATGGTCATGGCATCGTCGGTTCGAGCCAAATAACCCGGACTAGGCGGCGTGTCGGCAGGATGGTTGAGCTTGGTTTGTGCGGCTTCGTGGTGTGATTGAGTTGCGGTTGAGTTGAATAGAGAGACTGGGCTGCAGCGGGCGATGTTTACATATTTCGCTCCGCTTGGCTAACTGAGTTTTATAGAAGGAACTCTTTGCGACCAAATCGTCGTGTGCTTTAACGAGACGATCCTTTGCGAATACAATGGCCGTGCTTTACGGACGCGGATCCTTTGTGAGCAGAATATTTCTTTGACTAGAATCAAGGCCTTTTTTTTTTAAATACATTTCATCTTACAGATATTTCTATTTTCTTCATGAAAGAGACTGCCACTTCTGTGAATAGAAAAATACCCAAGTCGGGATGCGGAGCAGAGACTCGCAGGACAAGGGCATTCAGTATTTGTCTAGTGAAAACGTTACCCGAGGTTCACAAGTGGCCTTTCGTTTCTTTTTTTACCCATGTAAATCCTGATTATGTGAATACTTGGGTCTGAGATCGAACATGACCATGACCTGCTTACTACAAATGATTGAGATGAAAGCATGAGCACAGGCGTCTTCCCTCGCCGCGTTTACTACCTCTTTGTGATTCGACATCGGGTCCAAGCCACCCACCCTCCTTTACGAAGTTATTTCAATGGCACCGTCCTGAAGTTTGGCGATCGCAACGTCACTCAGACAAGGAGCCGTCCTCTTCCCCCTTTACACACTTTGTACGCATCTTCAGGATCACCATCCTCCTCTTCCGACCATTGTTATTATCGGCAGTGGCATGCTCATGACTCGACCCGTCATTTGACTCCACCTGAATCGGCTCGTCCGTCGTGACAGTCTTCCCAATAAGGGCCATGGCCAGATTGTAGTTCCTCCGAACCCAGGTGCGCTGGATCTCTATCAGCCACTGCTCATTCAACTGGCCCGTGTCAAACAGTCGCTTTGCTGCAAGTGCAGCGAGCTGATCGTGCCTGCTGACTCTTCGGTTCACCAATGCTACAAAGAGTTCATGGGGATTCGCCAAGGGGATCCGAGCCATATCCTCTTCGGAAAGACCTAGGAGTCGGGTCCCTTGATGCCTCGGGTTGGCAACCCCGTGAAGACCCCATATGTTGAAGAAGGCGCTGGGTGGCAAGAGGATAATGTTGCGTGGTTGTGACACGTCCCAAACTGTCTGCAAGCGGGTGTAGGCAGCCGTCCCTTCGTGACAGGACTGAGTGATGACGTGGTCTGGGACGTCTTCAAACAGCCTGCTTGATTTGAGTATGCCCACGGCTTTGGATACATCTGCGTCAGCAAGGCAGATTTCGATTGACTAGGGCTCATGTTAGCCAAGCAGGTCTTCTTCCTCTTTCTATCATGGCATTGGTACAACAAGAAAGAGCTATCGTGGTGCGCAGCTGCGTACCCGGTAGACTTACGAATTCTGGATTAAAAGCCGTCGTAGCTTCGCAGTGCATGAGTGCTACCTCACCGACAATCGTGTGGTGGATGTAGTTTGACCTGAGCATACTACAGGTGGCTTGGAGAGGGCTCCAGTCTATATTCCTCACCGTGGCAGCCATGATGGACTTGGAGGTCGTCCGGATATAAAGGAGTGATGAGAGGGGGGAAGTTGTAAGAGGGGAAGAAAAATTGAGTAGTCAGTTGGTAGTTTGGCTTTTTAAGCCATGAGGATGTGAGTTGAACGTGAGTTTGGCGGGAAGACCAGCAAACGGAGCTCGGTCATGTCATGGAATTATATTCAATTTCAAGTTCGGTTGGCAGGGCAGTGACCAAGTGGGAGTTTGCATATAAGAAAGCGTAAAGTATTTAGTTTCCTGAGCTTTATTTAATAGAATCTCATATAAAAGTCAAATTAAATAATTGCAACGAGTGAATAATAAACAGCCCGTGGTGGACGATGTTACATCGACTACCTCGGGAAGTGCCTTGTGACAAGGGCTCATTGAGGGCTTGGAGTAATAGCCCAATTCAGCTGTAATAATAGTCTTTGGTATTGAGGGTCCTTGGTTTTTCTCAAGGCCTAGTTGATTAAAGAGGCCTATATATACAAGAAGTCGGTGAGAGCCTTGTGCCCTAGGTCTGATGCTCGCAGCCGTCATGTAACCGTTTGACATGCCGTCAGCAACCTCAAAGGATGATCATGCCATGAAAAGGCGTCAGCTAGTGATTTAGTGGTCAGCATATCATACCGCAGGCGCCAAGTTTGGTATCGTCTGCCGTGCTGGATTGTGCCTTAAAATGTGATCCGTTGGGCATCTGGTTGGTACGTCTTTTTTGATCCATATAGTAACATTCATTTGAGACCATGACGTCTCGCACATCTGCAGCCTGGTCTCATTTACCATCCAAGGCGTACCAGCCTGAAAAAGGGCTAGCCCAACTGGCGCCGAATCTATGAGGCGAAGCCGCTGGCCATGCCCCGTAAGCACGTCGCTCAACACGTCGAGTGTGGCAGCCAAGTGAAGCCCGTAATCCGTGAGCAACATACACAACAGCCTTCCATTCTCCCCATCATGTAATTAAACCTCCGACATGATCCCGACGTAGCTTCAAATCCATCTAGAGACCCCAACTGCGGCGGACTTGAATACTGTTCTTCCCAATGTCCAGCATCCGCCAATTCGTCTTGAAAGGCGGCATAATCGGTCGCCTCCATGTACATACAGCCAACATTCTAAAACTCAATTTCTTTTGCACCCCATTCCCATTCCGAACTTTGTTCCCTGAGGCCCAAGTCCTCAATTTCTTCCGCCGAGTACCCGTGGTTCGCAATCTCATGCTTAGCTCTGTGCACGAACTTCACCATAGCGCTGCACTCTCGATCCAGAGGCTCAAGACAAATGTCATCGGCAATCAGAAAGAAGTTGTAGCGAGTCCCACCCACGAAGCCACCGTCTCTGCCTGCCGTATCGGTGTTGAATGATTGAATCCCTCCACAGAGGGACGTTGGTCTTCTTTACAGTTGACGCGGCACTCGTCCACCACCCTGCGGAGAACTTCTCTCGCAAGGCGTCTGCAGTAACACCCTCAAATTGACTCTGACATTCATGATTTCAAGTCGGTGCCTGGGATACAACTCGGGGTCGGGAGCAGGCTCGTACTGCAGCGAGTCGACAGGGCCATGAAGCACATCCAGCATTCTGTTCCAGGCAGCATCATTACCATATGCCGTTCGATAAACCACTAGCACCCCCCTGGACCATCGCTTGAACTTTCCAAAGTTGATTTGTCCTGTCACTTGTCGCAGAGGGTGGGTTGAGAAGTCTTCTCAAGCGACCACGTCTCGCGGACGTGTTGACCGAGAGGATGAGCCTCCTCTACCTTTGCTCTGGCATGGAGTCGACCATTCATGTCTTTACCGTCGACACCACTTGAAGCTGCCTCTAGGGCTCTGCTAAAGGCATTTACGCGCTGGCGCTCCTCCGCGGCAAGACCTCTTCTGGGTTTGTTTGAAACGGAATGAGAATACATTGCATTTGGCTTGAAGAGTCGAGGTGGATGGAATGCGAAGAACCTTGGTGTGTTCTCTGATGAAGCTCTATGAAATAACAAGGAAACCTCCCAAGACATAGGAGATGAGAGGCTGGGATTTGTTCGATGCGGCGCAGAGACTGCATGAGGGCCCAGGTTTGTAGCGGGCTGGGCGCTGTGAGAGGACAAGGTTTTATGTTCGGGCAGGGATAACCAGTGTTTAATACTTGTCATACCCTGAATCGTTTACAATAAGCATTGCCGTTGAGCGGAGCAGGACGTCAGCGACAGCAGTCCCGTATTCTATGTGTATTTTTGATAAATGTCTACTAGCAACGCCGAAACGGGCTCAAGTACTCAGAAATATCAAATAGCGGCACTGGGCCACCTACCGTTACCTTGTATCTAGGACGAGGTTCGTGGACTTTTAAAGATACACCAATAGTCCCCACATGATGATTCAAATAGCATAGAAGTGGCCTAGAACTTGGATACAATGATAATCCGTATGGGTAGTACAAATGCTTGGTGCGCTTGCTTCAATAAACAAAACCAAAACCAAAACCAAAAAAAAAAGAAAAAAAGGGTTATATCAAAGGATGACGACAATACTAGTCCCTCAACAGTACATAGAGCGAGACAAGGTGCAAATTGCCACGGGTGGGGGTATCGCGACTATGGGGGCCTGGCTTTGCTGCGACCACATCCCAGAAACGAGAATGAATAATACACGTAGCAATGCCACATACAGCAGGGGAAACACGCTAGTGGAAATTCGCAGAAATTTCTGCATTATAGAGTCTATGAACATATGCTTAAGTATCAACATCAACTTTTAGTTAAAAATATCTTCCAGCAGAATACTATGCCTATGCCGTCCACACCTCATGGAGTCATGTACAAGTCGTTACAGCCGCGACCCGTGGGCCATTGGATGAAGTCCATCTAGTCACTGCAAATTCTCGATAACTAGCGCGGAAGCACCGCCGCCGCCATTGCAGATACCAGCACAGCCAATCTTGGCGCCCTTCTCCTTGAGGACTGAAGTCAAAGTGGTGATGATACGGGCGCCAGAGCAGCCTAGAGGGTGGCCAATGGCGACGGAGCCACCAAAAACATTGACCTTGTCGGCATCCAGACCCAAGAGCTTGATGTTAGCAAGGGCAACGACGGAGAAAGCCTCATTGATCTCGTAAAAGTCAATGTCCTTGTCGGTCAGACCAGCATGCTTGATGGCCTTGGGGATAGCTAGGGAGGGAGCAACAGTGAAGCGTTCGGGCTCACGCTCGGCATCACCCCATCCAAGAATCTTGGCGATGGGCTTGACACCAAGCTCCTTGACCTTGGCCTCGGACATGAGCACGACCGCAGCAGCACCGTCGTTGATGGGAGCGGCGTTGGGAGCGGTGATGGAGCCGTCCGACTTGAATGCTGGGCGCATAGCCTTGAGCTTTTCGACATTGAGGTTCTTGACTTCGTCGTCACGCTCAACCTTGATGGGGGGCTTGCCACGGCCGCCCGACACCTCGACGGGGACAATCTCCTTGAACAGACCAGCCTCGGTGGCAGCCTGTGCTTTCTGGTAGGACTTGATAGCGTAGTCGTCCTGAGCCTCACGGGAGAGTTCGTTGTCGCTGGCACACAGCTCTCCCTGGAGACCCATGTGCTCCTTCTTGTAGGCGTCGGTCAGGCCATCCTTGAGAACGCCGTCGACGAGGGTCTGGTCGCCATACTTGGCGCCGGTACGGAGGTTGGGCAGGTAGTGCGGGGTGTTGGACATGGACTCGGTACCGCCAGCAACGACAATATCGGAGGTGCCAAGCATGATGTTCTGGGCACCGAGGATGATGGCCTTGAGGCCAGAAGCGCAGACTTTGTTCACAGTGGTGGAAATGGTGCTGTTGGGGAGGCCGGCGCCGATGGCACACTGGCGGGCGGGGGCCTGGCCAAGACTAGAGAATATCAGCCATGTCGAAGACTTGTAGGGAAAGCTGCGTTTATGGAGGAAAGAAACTCGTGTACCGAGTGGGAAGCATACCCAGCAGACAGGACATTGCCGAAAAAGACCTCTTCGACCTGCTCAGGTTTGATACCGGCACGCTCAACGGCACCTAGGAGTGAGGGGTCAGAGGTTGATTTCAACGCATGGAACGACGGGGGTGTAAAGATGTACCCTTGATGGCAGTAGAGCCTAGCTGAGTAGCGCTCAAGCTGGAGAGGGAGCTATTGGAGGAAAAGAGATTGATATCAGCATGACAAGACACAAACTATGAAGTTGTGTTGACTGTTGACTGTTGACCGTTGGCGGCTGGTGTTCACCAAGGCCACCTTGGAGCAAAGTCGGCGAGGGGCAGTTGAGCATTACCCAAGGAACGAACCGACGGGGGTTCTGGCAGCAGAAACGATGTAGACGGGAGGTAGCCCAGACATGGCGGTAACCAAAGCTTGAATTGGGTTTGAGAGGTAAGCAACAGTGAAAAATTACGGCGAGTAGAAAGATTGAACTTGACTATCGACGTGGTGGGGAGCTCAATCAATTGCAAGAGCTAAAATAACGCCAAGGTGCACGGTGCATCTGGGAGGTGAGCAGACGCTACCAGCGATTTTGCGGTGGACTCATGTCAAGACAATAAATGGATGGAGCGGTGGCTGAACCGGGTTTAGCGCGGATACCGCCTTGTTCAGACGTCGAGGCGAACATTTTACAGCACGGGCAAATGTACTCCGTACTGACAGGCCCCCCACCTTCTTTCACCTTGTCCCGCCTGTAGTTGGAGTACTCCGTAGGGGTGCCAGCAATCTTATCGCGATTGACTATTAGCACGTGACGCGACCTAGCTGTCGCCGAAAAATGTCAAGCTACGCCATGGCACCATCGCGGCCGCGACACCAGTTGCTCAACGCGCGCCGAAAGTCCATTGATCGCAGGCGCTCGCAGCTTGCCGAACGGAACAATGGATGACCTTTACGATGAGTGAGATTTTCTCCCTGAATACGCTGTGCCCCCCTGCACCCCGACCTCAAAACACTGACAACAACACTCTAGGTTCGGCAACTTTATTGGGGAGGAAGCGGAATCTGAGGACGCGTCCGAGGCGGGCGTCGAGGTGGGCGCTGAGGCAGGCGACTATGTGTACGACGATGAGCCTGAAGAGACTGGGGGGGTAACGGGAACTGAGCTTATGGAAATCGATGGTTCGTGCAAGGGGACTGTTTTCAGAGCTGATTGATAACCTGCTAACCAGGGAAGCAGATGGGCCGTCCAATGCCGTTGTCCTCCACGAAGACAAGCAGTACTATCCGACTGCGCAGCAGGTATATGGTGAAGATGTCGAGACACGCGTGGAAGAGGAGGACGCGCAGCCTCTTAGCGAACCCATCATCGCACCCGTCGAACAAAAGAAGTTCAATATCGAAGAAGCCGACCTACCTCCGGTATTTTTTGATCGCAAGTTCATGACCGACTTGATGAACTTCCCCGAACAAACGCGCAATGTGGCGCTAGCTGGACACCTGCACCATGGCAAAACTTCATTCATGGACATGCTTGTTCTAGAGACTCATGACATTGCAGAGAAGCTTGACAAGCGAAGTGGACGAAAGCGCGACGAGAAGCTACGGTATACTGATGTTCACATTCTGGAGCGCGAGCGAGGAATCTCGATCAAATCATCACCCATGAGCCTTGTCCTGCAGAGTGCAAAGGGCAAGTCGCACCTGGTCAACCTCGTTGACACTCCTGGTCATGTCAACTTTGTCGACGAAGTCGCAGTCGCCTTCAGATTGGTTGATGGCATATGTTTGGTCGTGGATGTTGTGGAGGGTGTGCAGGTCAACACGGAGCAAATTATCAAGCATGCTGTTTTGGAGGACATTCCTCTGACGCTCATCATCAACAAGATGGATCGCTTGATCTTGGAGCTCAAGCTGCCCCCCAAGGACGCCTATTTCAAGCTCAAGCACGTTGTTGAGGAGGTCAACACCGTGATTACCAATGCCATGCCCACAAAAGCCTCCGAGAAGCGGATTAGTCCTGAAAAGGGCAATGTTCTCTTCTCCTGCACTGACCTCGGCTGGTGCTTCACTCTGCAGTCCTTTGCCAAGATGTACACTGATACATACGGGGATATCAATGCTGACGAATTTGCCCGGAGATTATGGGGCGATGTTTATTTTAACCCGAAAAAGCGATCATTTACGCGAAAACCCGTTGAAGACCGTGCAGCACGGTCATTTGTTCACTTCGTTCTCGAGCCCATATACAAACTCTTCACACAGTCCATCAGCGCTGCCCCTGAGGACCTGAAACTGGTTCTGGCGTCCCTGAACATTCAGCTGAAGCCTGCGCAGTACAGAGCAGATGCCAAGGACATTTTGAAAGCCGTCTGCCAGCAGTTCTTTGGCCCATCAACAGCATTTGTTGACATGATTGTTCGACACGTCCCATCGCCGACTGAAGGCGCACAGAGACTTTTGGAGAGGGCATACACCGGCCCACTGGACACCAAGGTGGCAGGTTCGATGAAGGCATGTGATCAGGACGGCCCACTGGTGATCCACGTTACCAAGCTGTTCAACACATCAGACGCCAAGAGCTTTTACTCGTTTGGTCGTGTTCTGAGCGGCACTGCGCGGCCCGGCATGTCGGTGCGAGTGCTTGGAGAGGGTTATTCGCTGGATGATGAGGAAGACATGACCACTGCCACTCTTGGTCAAGTCTTTATCGGAGAGACCAGGTACAACATTCCCACAGATGGTGTGCCAGCAGGAAATCTGGTGTTGGTCAGTGGTGTGGATAACTCAATAGTCAAGTCTGCGACTATTGTAGCCCCCAAGTTTGAGGATGCCGAGGATGCGTATATTTTCAAACCCGTCACACACTTTACCGAGTCCGTCCTCAAGGTTGCGGTGGAGCCCATCAACCCGTCAGAGCTGCCCAAGATGTTGGACGGGCTGCGAAAAGTGCAGAAGTCATATCCTCTCATTGATACAAAGGTGGAAGAATCCGGCGAACATGTCATCTTGGGGACCGGAGAACTCTACATGGACTGTGTGCTCCACGATCTCAGGCGGCTGTATGCCGATATGGATATCAAGGTATCCGATCCTGTGACCCGCTTCTGCGAGACGGTGGTAGAGACGTCGGCGACAAAGTGCTACGCCATCACACCAAATAAGAAGAACAAGATAACCATGGTTGCGGAGCAATTGGAAAAGGGCATATCTAATGACATTGAGACGGGCGCCGTCAAGATCCGTGATCCTATTCGCAAGACGGCCAAGTTTTTCGAGGAAAATCACGGTTGGGACAAGCTTGCCGCACGAAGCATCTGGGCTTTTGGGCCGGATGACATGGGGCCGAACATTTTGCAGGATGATACTCTGCCTACAGAGGTGGGTCTTGTATCCTTGATTCCGTTTCCTCTGAATGCATGCTAACAAAACGGCAGGTCGACAAGAAGCTTCTCAACACTGTCAAGGAGTCTATTCGGCAGGGATTCAGCTGGGCCACCAGAGAAGGTCCCCTTTGTGAAGAACGTATGTTGCACTGGCCCCTCCTCCTCTTCCGGCGTGGTTTAGGACCTGCTGCTGACTTTAACAGCGATTCGAAATACCAAGTTCAAAGTGACGGATGTGTTATTAGCAGGAGAGGCCATCTTCCGTGGCGGCGGCCAGATCATTCCCACGTCGCGACGAGCATGCTATTCCTCGTTCCTCATGGCGTCTCCACGGCTGATGGAACCGGTGTACGCCGTGTCCGTGACGGGGCCCGAAGACTCGCACACCGAGGTATACAATGTACTGTCACGACGTCGGGGTCACGTATTATCCGACGGCCCCGTGGCCGGCACGCCTCTGTACCGCGTCAACGGCCTGATTCCCGTCATTGACAGTTTTGGATTCGAGACGGACCTCCGAATCAAGACGCAGGGCAGCTCCATGGTCAGCTTGGTGTTTGATAACTGGAGTATTGTGCCCGGCGACCCGTTGGATCGGGAGCAAATCATCCGACCACTGCAGCCGGCATCGGCGCAAGCGACAGCCAGAGATTTTGTGCTCAAGACCAGGAGACGGAAAGGGCTGAATGAGGATGTGAGTGTCAAGACGTTCCTCGAACCGGAGTTTTATCAGAGTTTGATGGAGAGCGGCATGCTGGGGGATGCATAAGGTTGTTGCCTAGGACGGGAAGCAAAATTTTTAGCAAAAAAGGCTATTTGTAGTTTAACGTAGACCCGGGGGCGTTTGAATTCGGGGGCACTATTTCTCGTGTACATATAGATGGAAGAGTGAGCGTGAGGGTATTCTGAGGTCCAGTCTGGCCGTAGACGGATCAACGAAGACCGGTACGTCGCATGCCATTGACGCTTACTCCGTACATGCTTAGCGACTAAGTAGCCCATGTGCGCGAATGGGTGACTCGAGTTCCGCAGATTTTGGGGCGCAGAGAATGTCTGATTCTGGAGGGACAGGCGGCACCTTGTGAAGCGCGGCGCCTCTCGCAAGATGCACCCTAAACGACGTCCGGAAAGCGTCAATCCAGTCTGGCCATGAATGCCGGTAGTTACCAGATCACCGGGGCTCGCACCTCGACCAATTACCCATCAGCGACCAAGTGGACGAGACTAGCCCCAGGTGCCACTTAGTTGCCAACGGGCAATTCCAAACACTGTCGCCACGGGCCTGACGGCCCATGCCTGCAGCCGCTCACACTCCGTTTATTGTCCTTGGTCCTCTTGCGGTGCGCACGTGTACGGAGCAGACCTCCATCTCGACGTCACTGCGCAGAGATTGGAAGCGTCCCGATAGACAGTTATGCCTATCGGATAACATTGAAGATGTTGACGCGACTCAGTCAGCCATGGCCATCTCCTCTGCTACGCAAAGGCAAAAAGGCAGTCAGTCCGCTTTGCCACCGGCAATAGGCACCGTTGACATGTCCAGCTGCCCTGTGTCCTTGGGGAGCACGAGAACCATCGCCACCGCAGTCCATATAATTCCCCATTGTTTTCCTGTCCCGCTTGTTAGCTACACTCGTCCTCTCCTCCACACGCGTGGCTGAGCTAGCGCCTTAGCAAGGTTGCAGCGGCGGCGGCGGCAAGTCAACAACCCTTGCTGTTGTCGAAGCGCCGTCGGTTCGAACGCATGCCAGGACGGAAATGGCATCGTTCGCCGTGGGATATTCCATTCCTCGCCTTTATCTCCATGACAAGAGCCCATCTGTGCGTAGCCGAGGCTGGCATATCCTTGTCTTTGGAGCCTCGCTGAGAGGTTGTCAGCGCGAGCGGGCAAAGCTTGGGACTCGACTGACGCCGGGACGGACGGGCTGGATCGGAAATTTTTTTCCGTCCTCACGTCCCGCGATTAGGTTTTGCTGCAACGGCCGACGATCGGACAGGCATGCGGAGGCACAAGGCTGGGATCAATGCCGATGGCTGGCATCGCTGCCAAGAGGCTACTACCGTGACGGCGGCTCTGGGAGCGTACAATGTCGGTCTGGGATCGCCGCGTGTTTTCCAACAGAGCCCGGCATTGGCTCGTGCCCCGGGACAAACTACCTCATCTTGCTTCAGGATGGAGGCACTAGCGGGCCGATCAAGCTAGGTAGAGTGGTCATCATAGGCCCGTGGGAGAAATGGAGAACACAGGCTTGCTCCGATGCAAGATGGACCATGGTGTGGATAGTACCACCTTCAATGTTGCTTTGTACATGGACTAACAGGAAGTGAGAGGGCGCTTGCGTTGTGATAGCTCGTAATTGAACGTGTGTGGTTGTGTTCAACTTATTGGCGGGCTACTGTTAGCTTGGGTGAAAATATATATATATATGTGTGTGTCTGTGTGTGAGCGTAGATATAAATGCAGATCCCTCGCACTTGTTCATCGGTGTCAAGGCAAGACCTTTTTTTGGGCGTGGAAACTGCAACACAAGATGATAATGCGCTCCCCGTGGCAAGCGGCCTTTGTCGGCCTCTCCCTGCTGGGCTCCCTCGTCACGGCCGTCAACCTCACCGGCTATGAATACGTCGTCGTCGGATCCGGAGCCGGCGGCGGGCCTTTGGCCGCCCGGCTGGCCATGGCCGGCCACAAAACACTCCTCATCGAAGCCGGCGACGACCAGGGCAACAACTCCAACTACACCGTCCCCTCGTACTCTGCCAAGGCGTCCGAGGACGAGAAGCTCGCGTGGAACTTCTTTGTGCGCCACTACACCGACGATGCCCGCCAGGCGCGCGACTACAAGACGTCGTACCAGACGCCCGATGGGAGGCTGTACACCGGGCTGGACCCCCCCTCGGGCTCAAAGATGCTCGGGACGCTGTATCCTCGGACCGGGACGCTGGGCGGGTGCACCGCCCACAACGCCCTGGTGGCCATCTACCCCCATCGCTCCGACTTTGAGTACATTGCCTCGCTGACGGGCGACAGCTCCTGGGCGCCCGACAAGATGCGCAAGTACTTTGTCAAGATGGAGAAGAACAGGTACCTGCTGCCGCTGGCCAAGGGCCACGGGTACAACGGCTGGCTGGACACGGACCGCGCGCCGCTCACGATCCCCCTCGAGGACCCCAAGCTGCTCAGCCTGATCACGGGCGGCAGCTTCGCCCTGGGCAACTACTCGCGGCTGCTGCCCAACCTGCTCGACGTGCTCGTGGGCGACGCCAACGAGGACTCGGAGGCCCGCGACAGGGACGGCGGGTACTTCCAGGTGCCGCTCTCGGCGGGCGACGGGCGGCGGGCGACGGGCGGCGGTACGGCTCGCGCGAGTTTGTGGTCGCCGTGCGAGACGCCAAGAACGGCGACGGCTCCAAGAAGTACCCCCTCGACGTGCGGATGAACTGCCACGTCACGAGGGTCGTCTTTGACGAGGCGGGCGACGAGCCCCGGGCCACGGGGGTCGAGTTCCTCGACGGGGCGTACCTGTACAAGGCCAGCCCGCGGTCAGGCTCGGCGGCCAGGGGCGTGCCCGGGTCGGCCACGGCCTCCAAGGAGGTCATTGTCGCCGGGGGCGCGTACAACTCGCCGCAGATCCTCAAGCTCAGCGGCGTCGGGCCGGCGTCGGAGCTCGCGCGGTTCGGCATCAGGGTCGTCAAGGACCTGCCCGGCGTGGGCACCAACCTCCAGGACCACTACGAGGTGGCCGTCCAGGGCCGCATCCCGTCCGAATGGGGGTTCCTCAAGGGCTGCACCTTCTCCGACGACAACGACCCGTGCCTGGACCGCTGGCGGCACCCGTTCCTCGGCAGCCGCGGCGCCTACGTGTCCAACGGCTTCGCGGCCGCCATGCTCATGAAGTCGTCGCGGGCGAGCGAGTACGACGCCTTCATCTTTGGCGGGCCCATCAACTTCCGCGGCTACTTCCCCGGCTACAGCTACAACATCACGGCCGACCACGACGTCTTCACCTGGGCCATCCTCAAGGGCCACCCGCGCAACACGGCCGGCCACGTGCGCCTGCTCAGCGCCGACCCGCTCGACGTCCCCGAGATTGTCTACAACTACTTTGACACGGGCAGCGGCGACAGCGCGGCCGACCTGACGGCCATCCGCGAGGCCATTGGCGTCGCGCGCGCCGCCTTCCGCAGGCAGCCGGTCAGGGTCGACGAGGTGCTGCCGGGCGCCGCCGTCCAGTCCGCCGCCGACGTCGAGACGTACGCCAAGGACACGGCCTGGGGCCACCACGCGTCGTCGACGTGCCCCATTGGCGCTGACAACGACCCCATGGCCGTCCTGGACTCGAGCTTCCGCGTGAGGGGCGTCAAGGGCCTGAGGGTCGTGGATGCATCCGTCTACCCCAGGATCCCGGGGACCTTTACTGCCGTGTCGACGTACATGGTGGGCGAGAAGGCGGCCGACGTTATCCTGAGCCAGAATAGGTAGATGTTGGGCGTGTGGCGTTTAAAATTCACATACATTCTTTTGGCGTTTCATTTTCTGGCCGGCTTGCGCAGTCTTGTAGTTGAGGAGGAAGAGGTACGTTTGTTGCGGTTTCACATGGCGCGGCTGCTGATTGGCTGACGACACACATCCCGACTGGCACATGTAATTTTTGACTTGAGAAATGAAAAACATGGCACTTGCAAAAACAAACGATGCTAAACTATTTCTATATACGATTGGGTGAATCTCGTGATGATTGCAGTTCCAGTACCTGCGAGGAGTAATATCCACTAGATTGATTAACTTGGTTTCTCAACTATAGTGCTGTGAATATCTGACCAAGATGGGGCAAGTTGTACCCGGCGTCGTCAAGCCCTGCCACAGGACATGCATGGCGCCTGGGGAGGTCAAGTATTTTTGAGCACTTGGTCAAATAGACTGTTAGGTCATGTTTAATATTGTCCGTCTCTGACCTGGGTCCTTTGTTTTGGCCGAATTTCAAAGTCACTGACGTCAACACTGCAGACTTAGACTTCTACACTAGTTCGATGACGAGACCAGTTGGGTCTACTGCCAACGATTGCCGTTGAATCGGTATAAAGGGCAACCGCCGGACTGGTTTCAGTCGCAAAGAAAACCAGCACCTCTTTACCCAAAAATAAAAAAGTTCACAACCACCCCCAACGCAGCCGCCATGTCAAAACTCCTCGACTTTCGCTGCGCCGTCATCACCGGCGGAGGCGGCGGCATCGGCAAAGCCATGGCACGATACTTGGTCTCCAAGGGCAAGACCGTCCTCCTTGCCGGCCGCACAGAATCCAACCTGCAGTCGGCGGCCAGAGAAATCGGCGCGGCGGGCTACTACGTCGTCGACGTGGGCAAGACGGCCGACATACCGCCCTTTGTGGGCCGCGTCACAAGGGAGCACCCGGAGCTGGACTGCCTGGTCAACAACGCCGGTGTCCAGCGGCCGCTCGACATTGTCAAGGACGGGGCCTTTGTGGCCAAGGCCGACCGGGAAATCGACATCAACATCCGGGGCCCCATGCACTTGACCCTCGGGCTGCTGCCGCACCTGCAGGCGAGGCCAAACGCCGTCATCATCAACGTGTCGAGCATTCTCGGATTCGTTCCCTTTTCCGTCATCAACCCCGTGTACAATGGCACCAAGGCGTGGCTGCACTTCTGGAGCATGAACCTGCGCACGCAGCTGCGGCAGGCTGGGTCCAGCGTGCGCGTGGTTGAGGTTGCGCCGCCTACGGTTGGGACGGACCTGCACCGCGAGAGGGAGGACCCCGACGACAACAAGAAGGGCAAGAATCCGCAGTCTCTGAGTGTGGACGAGTTCATGGGCGAGGTTTCCCGGAAGCTGGAGGCTGGGGACGAAACGATATCCGCCGGGGTTGGGAACGACATTGTCGAAAAGTGGTACCGCACGTACGGCGCCCAGTATGATGAGGCGGCGTCTCAGAAATAAGCAGTGCCTTGTCGTTGGCGCCGTCACAATCCAGTGTGTCCGCTGCATGGTTCCTCCTGTGATGGGTGCAAGAGAACAGAGAGATGATGGCCTCTGCTGGCGGATTGCTCGCCTTCTGGCAGTGCATTGGGTCGTGATATTTGCGACTCGTGAGCTACCTTGCTTGGAATACTGGCTTCTTGTACAATAAACAAAGGGTATATCAATCATCACGGCAGTAAATAAAAACATCACATGACAAGGGGTAAGGCTGGCAAAGAATAAACGGTTCTATTGGCTATCATATCGCCTAGTTCCTGTACTGTGAGTGTTTATTAGTTTCATCTCGCGCAGGACGCTCTTATGAAGGGGGTAGCTTACCACCAGCTGCCCGTTTTCGTTGCCAATGCGGTCATTCAACTCGAGGCCCTGTCGCTCGCGGTTTCCGCCCTCGACCATGCCCATTTCGGCGGTTAGCCTGGAGCCGTCCAGCAAGATGTCATGGGCAGATTCAGAGAAGTCTGCCGAGGAAGAAGTGTTGTCAGTGGTCTCTATTTGCCAACCAGCGGAAGGGAAAAAAAAGAGGAATACACGAGCAGGATGGCACGGGGAAAGAGAAAAAGACTTACTCACGCCATCCCATTCGAACCAGCCGTCGGAGTTGCCAATAAACTCATTCAGATCGATGGTGGATTCGTTCCAGTTGCCATCGTCGTCCTGACAGTCGGCGTGGAGGATGTGGCCGTCCTCAAGCCAGATATTCTTCGAAGACTCGTAGAAAGACATGTTGCACGTTTTGATGACTGAAGCGGGGGATAGACGAGAATTCTTGGTCTGCGGTTTGATGCTCATGTGTGCGGGAATAAGGCGAATCCAACCGCACTTTTAAATCAACCAGAGAGGGGCTCTCATGTACGCCAAGACATGCCCGGCCGCATAGACTGGATCCTTTGTGGCTATGCAATGTGCCATGAGTGACGGGTTTCTTGTTTTATGGTTTGTGGCCCCCGCATGCAACTATTTGGTGTCGGTGCAGGTTGGCCAGACGTCACAGCAGCAAGCGATGGCCTGTTTTTAACTGTGGGCCAGTACGTGGTTGACGATAATTGGGCTGTTGGTGTGTCATTGCTGCAAAGTTGTTTTTGTTTGTCTAGGAGGGGACGCGTTGGTCTGAGGTCTCGGGTTCTTGTCACCGCGAGGCTTGGAGCACCGGGGTCGGGGAGGCCCAGGATTGGCTGGAACAAAGGTCTCGGCAAGAGCCGCAGCCAGCCCGCAGCGGGCCGTACCAGTACTTCTGGCGTCAACGGTTACATGTACTCTGTGAAAGTATCTACTAGGTACCTAGGGACCACTCGGTGGCGCCAAGTCGCTTCGCCTCGTTCAAAACTTCAAGCTGCGGAGGGGGTCGCTCTTGCTATTTGCGTACCAAGGCCATCGCCTCGAATAAACGCTCCTGCCCGCATCTCAAAACGACCGACTACTACTCGACTCTCGAAACCGAGCCCAGCTCCCTCCAAGCAAGGTCTCTTCCCAGAGCCCCTCATCGTGAACACTCCTTGATTTTCGATGTGGCTATAAGGCTAGATACTGGTAGTTTCGGAAACAAAATGGCTCGCGTCTTTTGTTGAACTCCTTGGTGAACTTGTGGCCGTGTAATGGGATTTGACGTGTTAAGCTGAGAATGCCTTTTGTCGGACTTTTGCTCGCCTATCTGACCTGAACTGACCATTTGTTAAATTTAGCCTAGCACAATAGAGATCTTTTTTTATACATATAAATAGGTGCTAGGGTTGGGGTTGACTAAGGAATATCACATAAACCAATTTAGGCAGCTGTCTCAACTCTCAGGTAGCCATTATTTGTTTAGACCCGTAGTATCAGATACCCCAGCAATCTAGGCACTCTCAGGACCCTTTGCTTATGCTCCTGTTATCACAGCCCCGACAAAGTGGTGATGACTAAGAAAATGACAGCCATGCCGTTATGAGATCCAATTCCTTCTCTATCTTGGGGTCACTTGCTTCAGGGAACAGCCGTTCCATTAAGACATCTCTACCCTACAAACGAAAAGACGCCATTCGAAGATCCAGCTTCTGTTGTGAGGGGATTGATGATGATCCATTCAATCTAACGAGGCCCGTTTTGAGGGCTTCAAATCAAATCACGGTTGCGTTGGCCGGGCAATGCTGGATCACGTGACTATGCTCCTTACAGCAACTTCGATCCTTACGGTCACCAATGACCATCCTTTCTCCATCATCCCAACATTAAACCACACAATTTGCAACAACTATGGGCCAGTCCATTGGAAGTCTGTTCCCGCTTCGGTGGCGGTTGTGGCTTGGCAAGCTGCTCTTCCGCCCCCTTGGCCCGTCTACGTTCAGAGTCAGCTGGCATCGCGTTATCAAGGGACCATGCGATCCAACCGAAGTAGAGGCCATGAATTACGTCGCCGCCCATACAACAGTCCCGGTGCCCAAAGTCTATGCTGTTCATACTGAGGGTCAACTGATTTACATAGAGATGGCATTTATCCGTGGTGAAACCTTGGAGAGCGCCTGGGATAATCTGTCAAAAGGCCAGATGACTGCCATTTTCGACGATCTCAAAAACCACTTGTCAAGCCTCCGCGCCCTTCAGCCCCCAGAACAGGGCATGGTCTCCTCTGCACTCCAGAACCCGGCGTTTGACTGCCGCATTGGATTTCGGTTCTTTGGACCGGTAAGCCACGATGGCTTTCACTCACTTACGCGAGGGCATTTAATCATAGAAGATGTCGAACCATTTCTTGGCCAGGAAGTAGCAAAGACGCACACGTCCAGTTATGCGACCCACTTTACCCATGCAGATCTAGCTCCCAGGAATATCATGGTGCGCAACGGGCGAATTTCTGCCATCATTGACTGGGGCTTCGCGGGATGGTATCCCGAGTATTGGGAATTTACGAAGGCACACTATAATCTGTTTTTTGGTCAAGACCTTTGGGAGGAATATATGCGTCTTGTCTTGCCCTGCTATGAGACAGAACTCGTTGCGGAGCGAATCCTTTGGAGAAGACTACCAGAGCCGGGGACGATTTCTAGCTCATGGGCCGATCACACCGTTTTCAAAAAGGGTTCAACTCCTTCCGCAGAATGGTTGAGTAAAAGAGCCGGTCTCAAATCAATAGACTTGTGGTCTCTTGCTTTGGCTAAAGGAGAATATGACACTTATGACACTCCTGTTTAACCTAGGTAACTCGCAGCAAGGTTTGATAGCAAGAAACAAGAAGGGAGGAAAATTTAGTTGATTACATCTATTGGTCTGCTAGATGGACCTGTAGGCTTTCAATTCGTATTCCATGCGAGTGAAGCCATGCATGGGTCTCTGCATAATCGTGGAATATGCTAATGCCATACCATTCTGCAACATGACTGGTCTCAAAACAATCCCTGCAGACAAGCTGTAGGTGCTCCTTTGCACTTCTGTCTACGTTCTACTCACAGGCTTTTGACATCTTTAGCAATAGAGAGTAGCAACGAGGAAAAATTCATAGGATCAAGCTGTGCAGCCTTGCAGTCGCATGCGCTGTTACAATCCAAGTCTCATCTATCCCTGTCATAAAAAACTGCACAACCAATAGCCAAGCCAACAAGTGGTCCCTAATAGGCCAATGTAACCCCCCGATGCTTGTTTCCCCATGTTTCTTCCTCTGTTGGAAGCTCCCACTGTCCCTTTATTGGATATAGTTGCATATGTCTTTGTCACTTTCGATGCAAGTCGACAACCAAGATGGTTTCAGGTCTGGAATTATGTCCAAGCCTAGGCGCTTAGATACCCACAACTTAACGGCGTACATAAAGCGAGCGGTTATCAGACCAGTGTGTTAAATCCAATCATGTATGCCTAAAGCACCGATCCGGCACGCTTGTGAGACTCATTAAAAATGTCTTCATATGATATTAACAGCGCTAAAGAGTGGCATTTTAATTGACCACAGCCGCATAGCCCCCAAGCGAGGCTCGCTACGGCCTCCCCGTTTCAAACGTGCTGTTGGCACCAGCAAGAGGACCTGGCGTATGATATACGACCGACACATTCATGGAATACTTAAATAAGGAGCCCCGTGGCACTAACCTCGTCTTTTCCCCCGCCACCAAGCTATCTGCAACAGCTTTATTGTAAACTCTTCCCCTGAACCAGCTGTTTCTTTATTGTCTATGAGAATTTGGAATAGGTGAGTTTAATTAGAGAAAGCACCGCTCCGATACTAACGGGAATACCTTCTAGGTTGGATACCCTACCATGCCACGAGTGGTTACTGTCGCCTTGTATCATCGAGATCATCTTTCCAAAGGTCACTCTCGGCGAGTTTTTGGCTACGAAGCTTATCATTGGGGAATTATTGTCATGCCGGAAACTAGTCAAGGGCGAGATTGTAATGCTTATGAAGCTACTGATGCATCCGAGATCAACCCTATCACATTCCGGATGAACAATCCTCACATGGATTGGTGGTTCTGCGAAAAAGAACATATTGACCCCGAGCTTAGTTCTAAGCTTATTGGGCGGATTATTATTGGTCAGATACCGGAGAATGTTTCGGACCCTCAACTTCATGATTCCTTTTTCAGCGTCCCTTTACCGGTCAAAAACACGAATCCGCAGCAGAGCTGCGTCACTTGGACCGTGGATGCTATTTTGGCCCTCCAAGAGCAGAATTGGGCATGGAAATTCGATATTGAGCCATTCAAGGATTGGGCGCTCGCTTACGCCGACGAAAGAATGAACGGGCCAAGTTCTAGGCAGCCGAAGGTGGCAACATACGGTGGACAAAACTGAAAGTAGGAGAGTATCAGAGAGGCTTGTACTTGAGGCAAATTTCGAGTAGTCTAGAAAGATATATACTCTATTGAAGAGTAGTGTACTCAAGATAGCTAGTGTCACTCTTTGTGGGATACTGTGCCGCTGTCCAAGGTATTATTAACTAGGGCTGGGCTGAAAAGACTGAGGACTTCGTTTCATGATTAGATGCTTAGTCTGTTTACTCTTCCCTTTCCCAAGCACATTGATTCGTAAGCTCAGCCTCTTATGATTTGACCCATTGACTGGTCCACGGTTTTTGTGTCCGACTCTGCTTTCAAGGCAGTGGATAGCGCGAAACGGTGAACATCTACAGCGTCTGTGTGCTATCCCCAGCATTTCAAGTTTACATTGTCCTCATACCATTACTAGCCACTGCATGGATCAAGGACGTGTCTCCTAGCTTTTGGGCGACACACGACGATGTTATCAGTCGAAGGCTACACTGGCTTGGCATTCGCCACAGGACAATTCGGTCCTCGTGTTCCAACCAACCCCAAATTTCTCGCGAGCTTAACAGTGACGACTCTACCTCCAAGTTGAGCGCCGTTGGCGCTCTCCAGACTAAAATCAGCGCCGTCGACCCCAAGGGTGTCACCCGAAGGAATGAACTGACTCGAGACAGCTTCCCAAAGACGTGCAGAGTCAATATCGTCAATCCGACAAATTATAGCTATACGATAATAATGGTCTTCAACCAATACCCTTGGAAAAAGGACAGCGGCTAAGAACCTGATTGGAAGCTTTGCCCAGCAGGGGCAAAGATGACTACTATTAATGCAATGGCGCCATAACTTCTTACAAAAAATCATATTTTCTTAGTCTTCAATCAAAGTGGCGAGACATACAGAGCCCCCCGTATCTACCGAGCATTGCTGCGGCTCGCCAAAGGCAAAAACATGTAGCTGGAACCCGTCTCTGTGACTTCCTGGTGACCGACCGGCACGCTCGAGGAAGACAAGTCAGACATCTTTGAGACGCAAGAGGGTTGGCCGGAAATCCCGTATTTAAGTGCTGTGATAATGAGCTGTCAGTCTTCACGTACTGCCAATTCTAGTGATACTGGATGACAGGAGTAGCTTGTGCAAGCTGAGATGCTGTAGGAAAAAGTGCCTAGCAAACCTAACTGTACAGATGCTGCAAAGTAATGATTACGAGGCAGTTGGTGTCTGTGCTGACAACTGTAACACATGCACTCCCATTGCTTCGCATTCGTAAGCTCAGATACCAGGTCGGACAAATGTTACTGGACAAAGGCTCTTACCACACATATGTCGAGTCAAGTAGCAGACGTCATGTATGCCACATCGGCAAACACGGCAAACTCGGGCAAACAACGATCTGTGCAGTATTCGCCAACTTTATATTCAGTAACGAATTAGAAAGTAATCATTCTCCAGCCGCGCAGCTTTTGTGCCACTGTTTAATTAATCCTTTGGCGCAGACATGCACCTTTTGAATTTCTGATCAATAAATACATGCGGCCGTTTCCAGAGGCCACATAGAGATAGAGAGAGCCAATATGTGCTTAGTTTAAGCTGGATGTCGGGATATTCGTCCATAGGCTGCTATTGCTGGATCTTTTGCTCCATGGCCTAGTGGTCTAAGCTGATGTACGGATATATGTACTCCGCAACTCTTCTGGCCACTATGATAAAATAACCTACCCTGCAGATATTGCCTCATAAAAATGAGCATTTTGAAATGGAGTCAAGCTGTCATGCTACCTACCAAGCTTGACTGACTCGTGTTGATGGAGGAAGAGGCCTAGTCGGATCTCATAGAGTCATAGAAGGTATTGACCAGTCGGCCACAGTCCATGACTGAGAGGCGGAGATGTCTCTCACAATATACTAACTATTCACCATCGCTAACTCGGTTGAGACTAGTAATTTCATACTCAGCTAACGACAGCCTCTGACTATTCACTACGACCAAGCAAGTCGTGCATATGCATGAACCGTAGTAGACAACAAGGTCGCTGGCTCGCGAGGTGAACGCTGCTCCAGCTCGCTGAATAACAAGTCATGTCTGGGTACGGATTCCAGATGCCGCCTGGTCTAGTAAAGGTACTTTTCTCAGCGAAGCGGCACTCTCGATGTATGGCTCTAATATAGAGCAATTTTATCAGTTATAAATGCACTGTCTTCCCCCCCAATTCAGGTTATCTTGCACCATCTACAATAGACAGTCACAGACCTCCAGATACTCAACCAACAAAACGCACACGACTTTGCAAGATAAAGTAGCCATGTACTTGATGAGCTTGGTTTCCTTTGCGGCCGCCGCTCTGGCTGCGTGCAACTCACCAACCAACCGACCAGCAAGTCATTCCATCTCCACGAACGAGTAGATCTAGGCTGATGAGCGATTATAGGGCGTGGTATACGCAAATGCAGACTGTAATGAGCCACTATTCGAAATTCCCACCTATTCGGACTGTTCTCCAATTTCAGCCCAAGTGTAAGCTAAGAGCAGCCTTGAGAAATCTTGCGAGTGCGTATACTAATTCAGATAGTGCTGGGAATATTCATTCATTCAAGATTGGTGAAGACACTGGAAGTTGTCTTTTTTTCAAGTAAGTTCTATTATTTTCATGCTTCCCACTAGCATAATAAGACTAGCCAAGTGCTAACTTCGCATAGATCTTTCGACTGCTCTAGAAACCCCGTAGTATTGACCAGTACATTGACTGTAGTACCAGAGGATGCAATTAACTCTTACTCTGTAATCTGCTATAGAGGCTAGTTTATAGCAAAAAGCATAATGTCTGGTGGGCCTTTGGCAGAAGGTCCGCATAAATGAAGCTTTACATGTGGCAGGTTTGATAGGCAAGAGGTCGGCTAGGATGCCTCGGTGTAGGTTTTTGTCCCCTTTTTATAGATGCTAGGGTTTTCCCTATACTACAATGCAAATGCAGAGGCTGTTTACAATTCGATACTTCCTTCTAAAGTTATGGATATACTAAATTTTCAAGTTTTTGCCAATGACAAGAGGTCCTCTGCTGCTAGGACTCGGAAAGAAGTTGATTTCGCCTTCACACCGGGTCGTAACCAAATATTCCCGGCTTAGTGGTGATGCTACAGCCTGTTACATTGAGTTTGGAACATTCGGGTAGTGGAGGAAGCAAGTGAGCGCAATGGGTGGCGGATACGTCGCCCAGTATAGAGCTATGGGATAACAAGTGACAGTAAAGCACATCAAGTTGAGTAGCTGAACAGGGATATACCCCAAGGGCGCCCATTTGCTCAATTCATCGACAGAGTCGACGGCGCTGCATATCGAGAATTAACTCCCAAATTGCGCAATTTTTGAACCATGTGTCTGCAGCTGCTCTAAATCTTGTCGCGTTGCAGCATTATACAGCATCCCTTTCATACGATGCCTCGTCTGGCCCGGACAGTCCATACCAATCAACGCCGAGACAATCACGTATCCGATTTCCAGATCGTTGAGGATTTCGTCAGAAAGAAAATCTTCCTCACAAAACATCTAGGTTGAGCCCGACTCTTAAGCTGGTCCTTGATTTGACGGAAACCTACCTCTTGAATGTACGCATAGTCGCGGCTGGCTGCAACAGAGGCGCCGGGATCGAATTCAGGTTTACGCGAGTAAATACTCTTCCAAAGGCCGTGTCCGCGCTCCACCGCCTGGGACTCGCTCTGTTTGGACCTAAAAATAATGTTCATGATTGCCCTGTCGATCGGTAATACGGAAATCGTCCCTGGGCGATGTAGTTTCTCGAAGATGAGCCGGGATAGCTTTTGACAGCTGTCTCAAGGATTTTCCGGTCTAAGAGATATCAAAAATGTATCAATTGGTCGTGTTTTCTCTTTCTGCATCAATGAAAGCGAGGCGTACTCTTGCGGCTCCGACAATGCTACACGAGTTGGCCAACCCTTCCCTGATTTTCTGAGCCACCGTGCACTGCTCATCAAGTTTCATACTAATCAGTAGATGCTTGTTGATATGTTCCCAGACTTTAGGAATTAATTTAGAGAAACTAAAAGCAGACAGGTTGACCATGACACACATGTACCAGCGAACAGCCTCCTTGGTTGGCGCATTTTTGATCTCAGCAAAGAAGTCGTCCCCAATAGTGGTAAGACGCGGTTTGGACATTTTATCGTTGTAGTTTTTGCCGGTAAACGACAAGAAATGAACATACGGTGGTGGTTTAGCTTCTGCCACGTGGCAAATATCTGTCTTGGGTAGCCGGAGGTTGCATTGCACCACAGTTTGTTCCATGTTACATCCGGACATTGAGTTCTGAAGAAAATGTCATGGTATGGGGTGTTGACGAGAGGCAATCAAACCCAATGCATATATCGTTAACATACATGTCACACGGTTAGGTCTATCCAAGATTAAAGCCCTTTATTACGCCACGGGATCACGAGAACTATAGGGCACACTAGGCACGGGCCGTTCCTTTCATTTATATAAGATGGTTTCCCCTCGCCCTTGAGCTTGAGGAGACCAAGGACCTTTGACATCCTACAAGATTATCATTGAATCGAGCTTTTGCTTCAAGCCCTCTATTGAGCCCTTGTCACAATAAACACCACCAGATCTGCTTAGTCTCGCAAGCTGTCGCTGCAACCGCGGCAGTTCTCAACACGTATATCATCCCGCCACTGGCCAATTGCGCTTCACCGCGTGCAAAGGATAACGTGAGTCGCCCCGGTCAACCTGCTACCGAATATCTAGTAAGCTGGGACTTAGTTTATGAATTACATACAAGATGTAGCCAAAGCCGATTACGCTACCGAACCAGACACTTGGGGGTATGCATGGTTCTACAGCGCAGGCGACAATGACCAAGTACCTCATCATTTTGTGAGGATTCGAAGTGTGAGCTTTCCACCCAGCGCACCCAGCGCCAAAATTGCGTGTACATGCTAATTGGTATGACTTGGTTATAAGACAAGTGCAGCCAATCAGATCACTCATTGTTCCAGCAACCAATACGAGCAATTGAGCTCGGCCGTACAATCAGAGCAACTTCTCGAGCGGCCGATTGACTTGCGCTTGTTGAAGCTAACTAACGCAGGGTTCTTGACTCGCGAGACAGAACTTATAATGTCGGGGTGCGAGGCAGGCTATGTAGTTACAGATGAGATTCGTGCGCCAAAAAGTTGCAAACTTGAATTACTGAATGCCGTCAAGGGTGTGGCCGCCGCTGCAGAGGCGAGGGAGAACACCCATAGCTACTAGGTAGTCGAGTATTCGGGAGAGTACCAAGACGAAACAATCCTGCTTTTTCAAAGGTTCAAGGAAAGGGATGATTATGAGAGACGGCAAAATCTCACACAACTTCAGGGTCAATGGTACGTCCTCCTATATTCGTCACTACATAGAATTACCGCTAGGGACCATTTAAATAAGCTCTTTGAATGGCGGCGGGCCACGACATGGCTAAAGTCGGCAATTGGCTTCCTGGCCTAGCAGTGCCTATGAGAATATGACTTGGTAACTACTAGTTGTGGCATCCATCTCTTGTTCTTCTTGCACAACTCTAACAGAGCCTCCAGGTCAAAAAGCTCTTCGATTGGGGTTCTCCATCCAGCCAGTAGAATCGGATGCGAATGGTAAGTCGCGTCCAGACAAGATTCGAAAATAAAGCTCTCGAGAAAGATCCGCCTATAAGGGGCCTCACTTTATGAAACGCCTGCCAGTCCTAGTGTCTATATCTATATATATCAGCTTCAGGGAGAGATTGGTATAAATACATGTGCAAGTTTACTCTGGTGTCTGACTCGTCAAAATATTAAAGCTGCAACAACATCCACTATTTCCTTTATAAGCTCTTCATATCGAAATAGCACCTGCCTTTACGCTAGACACAGCACATGTTTTGCAATACGTAAGTATTCAAAAGCTAGAATATAAGAAAAGTATAAAAGGAATTCTATTTATATTTTTATATTTTATACATAATTCAAGGCAGTAAGCTAATTAAATATAAAAGAAGATCTACCTCGCTTAATATTAATACACTATACTTAAAGTATTCATAGTATTTGAGAGCAAGCACGGGTAGTAATCTTATTTACTGCCCGTGAAATATAGCCATCAACGATACAGTTTACAGATAAAGCTATCAAGTCAAAGTTACATATGCCATCCACCTCTGGCTTATGCCCTTTAAAGCAACTTCCATCCGCAAACTATACGCATATTACTCGCTAAATTTAGGCGCAGTTAGGCTTCTCGTCGCCCTTATTCCCGTAGATTCGTTTCGTCCTTCTTGTAGTCGTTACCGTCGCCAATCTTATTCTGGTCAACCCAGATGACCTTGTCCACCTTTCCGTGGCTGATAATTTTGTTAATCTTAACACTCCAGAAAATGCCGTCCTTCTTAGACTTCTAATCATGTAGGAAGATAAGGTAAGCCTTTCCCTCGGCCTTTTACGTATAGTACTTAGAAGGCGCCTTCTGCAAGTCTCTAAAAGTCGCCGCGTCAACGTCTTTATACTAGCTCTGCTAGTAGAACTTCTCGCTCCTCCAAATGCCGCGGAGTATAGTCAGTCCCTTCGTGTGTGCCCAATCTCTGGTTTTAGCAATCGTCTTTCTGTCTTAGCCAGTGAAGAAAAAAAAGTTAAAGGCTTCTCATTTACTATACACTCATCTATTCTATTCATCATAGCGTCTTCTACTGGAAAGTTATTGCCAGACAAAGTGCGGAAAGACATCGCCAGCGGCAACATCCAAGGCGTCAAGGAACTCTACAAATCAGCAAACCCGTCAAAACAGTCAGAATTACTCAAGGGAATAGCAGAGCGCGCAGCAAAGGTAAAACAGATCGGCATACTCAACTGGGTCTTTAGCCAAGGGTTCCCCTCGCTGTATTGCAGAAGCTTATCAGAAACAAAGTCCAGATTACTGGGCATCATAGCGAATTTATGGGCGATGCATTAAGCTTTACAGCATACCATGGCGCTGTCAAGATTACACGCTTACTCCTGGAGAATGGCCTGGACCCAACCAGGCATGGGAATACGACGATGTAGAGCCGGGCACTTGGGCTGTCGTTGGAGAACATCCATCGTTGGAGATGCTTCATCTGATACTTCAACACGGATGGCGTCAGGAAGAAAGCAGCGCGCATATTGCGGCGGCTGAACAGGGCAATATGGAGGCGCTGCAGTTGCTGGTCGACCATGGTGTTGATCTGGACTAAGCAGAGGGATGATGGCTCAATTCAGTTGTGATTGGGAGAGATGAATGTGGAACAGCCTTGCATCGCGCAGCATACAAGGGCCAAGAAGAGCCAGTAGCATACTTGGTGAACAAAGGTGCCAATTTGTGGTTCAAGGATATATAAAGGACAGGTACATTTTGTCGGCGGCGAAGCAAGGGGGAAACGACAAGGTGGTAAAGTTGTTGGAAGAATCTGGGCTCAAGGAATAGACCACATATCACATGCAGCTTGTGAATGGGACGAAGCCAGTCAACTATAAAGCTCTTGAGTTTATACTTTTTATTTCTAGATTAGGGCCTCGAACGAAGAATATATATGTACATATCTTCTCACGTATTGTGATGCGTGTTTGTACGCTATTTCCTTCGGTATATAACGGTTCTCTAATTTAGGTACGACCGGGCACATGGGGCTTAAATTTATTTTTTTACACAATGTCGTGCCAGCACGAATATTGCGGGAGGTTAAGAAATACAAAAAAGTAAAATATATATATTTAGAAGCCCCCTTTCGTATTCGCGCCTGGCTATAGATAATCATGCTCCCCAAGGTTTACTTTCACTCCACATACGCCTCCTTGGTGACTGGTAGCGGGATATAGCTTCCGGGAGATAACTTTGCTTCGACGACCGCCTGTAAAAATTTAGCTCAAAGTTGGCAAGAGCTTTATGCAGGAACCCCCCAATCCGTCACTCTAAATGGTCGTCTGTAGCAACAGAGATTATCACAACAATCAATCCAACCGATAAAATTCTCTCCTAGCGTAAAGTAGTATGCATCAGCACAGCTAACCTAACGCCACAACCCGCCGTGCTGCCTGGATCAAACTTGCTTCCGTGAAAAGCACTTTGCCATAGGTCCTCGTTGTAAATGTTGCCATCATCGCCATGGTAGCCCACCGTCTAAATATGCCAACTTTGAACCCACATGAGCAGCGCCTACTAGTTAAACTCACCTATAAAGTGAAGAGTGCTTTAATTATCCCTTTATATAATCACGAGTTATTAGAAAAAATCCCAGCCCTATTAGCCTTGTCTTCTTAGAGTATCGACCGTATTATTTGAGAACTCCACATGCCTCTATATAATATAAGCGTAAGTTAATTTCTTATTGTAACTGGGAGTTCATCACCTTTTTTCAGCATCAAACCTTCCATACACATCGTGCTTAACGACTCCTACACCGTAAGCCTATTCCTGCTCTTATAGGGTCAACTAATGTCCATGCTCGATACGCCACGACTTTTCTAATTGGATCATTTGCATTCCCATTTGGGCCACTTGCAAATGCCGATGTGGCGGCAAATGTGGTTGGAGATACGGCTTGCAACACGGCAATTGGCATAAATGTGATGCTCAGCAGTCTCAAATCCCCATTTTCGAAACATTGAGGGCGCAAACGGCTGTGTCAATCCAGCCCAAAGGAAGCGAGCACAGCGTTTTTAATGATCGGCAACTCAAAGTAAACGGTAAGAGTGTTCAGCTGTGCAACATGCTGTCACACTGCAGATTCATAAATTGTCAGAAGCACGAAAATATATAAATGGAGTTATTGAATATTTTATAGCGATGCGTATATATAGTATGAAACCGCGGGGCGGAAAGTTGACATGGTGCTATCTAGGCAGACGAAGGAGCAACTAGGGCCAAGACAGAGCAACTCGATGGATTAGCTACTACCGAGTTTCTTTCTCCTTAAATTCTCTAACTTGAGCTACAAGCTCACCAACTCCCTAGTCTGCATTATGTCTAGTTTCCAATGTTCTTGTCGGCATGAACTCCAGGGATGTTGGAATCTATAACAAAAAACTTTACCTCGACATCTTCAGGCTTCATGGCATCCAGGTCTTCTTGCGTAAGGCTAGCGACCACGGCCTCGCGCTTCTTCTCGCCTGGGGAATTCTTCATATAAAAGTCCAGCATGATTTGGATCTGGTAGGGCTTCTTTGTTTCATCCAAGATGGGAACCGAAGGGTTGTGAGGCTTGGCCTGCGTGTAAATGGTCTTGACAGACTCGGGGGGGAACTGAATGCCGACAATCGTCTCGCCTCCAGGGGGGCAAGAAGAGACGGGGTTGTTATCCTTGTCGCGCAACTCAAAGTACTCCTTTCCCAGAGAATCCCACGTGGACGACTTGCCGGCGAGGGCAGCGAGAGCCACCTTGGACGTCGAGTTCAGCTCGTGATATAAACCCGTCTCCTCGTGCTTCCACCTCAAGCATGCCGGAAGACACTTGAAGTCAACAACCGGCACCTTGAAGTAATTCCCAGGAATGGAAGCAGAAAAGCTCCAGGTCTGGACTTGACATAGGTGGCCTTGGGGGCATGAGAGTTTCCTCTTTTTCGTAAACGTAGTTGTCTTGGTCTCGGTGCTGTCTTGCCCGACCTTGTAGCCGAGCTTGAGACCCGCCTTTGGACCTGCACCGGCGACTTGGAAAGACCATTCAAAAGAGACTTCGCCATTTTGCTCCCATTTAAACGTGCTAGTGTCGATTGTTGCTGTAGATGACTCGAACCAGATTTCACCTTCCAGTGGTTGAGAGTCCGCATTGGGGTAAAAGTCGACATCCACGGGTCCGGTTATATTTGAAAAGAAGACATCGTGCAGCTGAAACATGTCTTCGACACTGCACCCGCAAACGGGTTTCACGGCGGCACCAACGAGCGGCTTATAGGAGCTTGGTTGGGCTGCCCAGAATCTCTTCGGGAGCAGTGCACGGGCGACATCCTTGTAGAACTCGACCCGTTCCGGCTGAAACTTTAAAATTTGTCTCTTTAAAGGACTCATTTCTGCACCAAGGGCGCTGGCGACAAAAAGGAAGATGGGAAACATTTTTGAAGTGTTTTTGCTTGGATAATAATGCAAGACTTGATTTGTTTTAAAAAGTCTTTGATAGAGTATACCGGCAAGATAGTAGCCAAGCGGTAGGAGACACATGAGTTTATATAAAAGCGTCAGTGACGCTCTACGGCTGCCGCGGAGAAAGCGACTTCGGTCGTAGTGCCGTGTCAACAGGTTATTCGGGGACCGAGAGCAGTCGCGCCATGCATTGCGTACCCGGCAACCCTGGAAGCGAGCGCTCCGGGCTGTTTCGTCCTATGTCCCCGTTTGCGCGGTAACAAAGACGTCTTGGAATATAAAAAAATCGGGTGATGCAACGATTCATTGACCGGGACATTTATGCATACTCCTGAGTTCTGCAATTATTGGTCACTAGTGCCCTAATACAAGGACTATAGACAAGGGTGACTTTCACAGCAACCCATCATGAAAATGAATATCAGGACATGCTTGAAACATTACCAGACATGAACACGAACGAGTATCCACGCCCCCGCCCCCGCTCCCTCCCGTCCTGGTAAGTATTGCCAGGGTTTAATGCCAGCACGAGGGCAAACGAGTTAAAGTTCAAGCATCAAGATAAGTCTAAATCCAATGGACCCTGACAGGCAAGGTTTGATTTGGACTACCTGAGAGAGATAACGAGGGTCAAGTGTGGCGTGACCGCGCTCACCCCGTGTATATCAAATGCCTCAGCCCGTGACTCCGTACGGAAGTCGGAAACGCTGCCAAGGAGGCCTCGTATTACACATCAAGGCGAGGCAAATGCCGGAACTGCACCAGAGTCGTACGACTTGTCGTGTTATTATTTGTATTCCGTTGCAAGTTTAGGGGCGCGGCATTATGCAAAACACTTGAGGCTATCGACCAAGCTACGGCCAACGCAGTATCTGCATGATAAATCGCACAATATTTCCCAACAGTCTAGACAATTGTGGATAATGTTCCTGAACTTCCGAGGGTCGAATCATACGATACATGACACGCCAGTGAATAGCCTTGGAAGCATGTGTCCAAGTTGGTGAGTTGCCTCCTGAAGGTACAGCACATAAGAACCATGCTGCTGCTCTGATAACATATAAAGACGGCAGCACAATCACGTAACTACTCAGCCTAACAACAAGACTTGGAAGTCGTCGTTACTACATATTCTAACTCATCAACCATAAAAACCTCTTACAACTATGCGTATCATCGCTACCCTCATGCTTTCTGCCCAGCTAGCCTTGGGCTTGGAACCCCTCACGGTCGACTCTGACTGTGATAGCCTTTTGGCGGGAGGGGGGTTGCCTTCCGGAACCCCTGAGCCTGTAGCATGGGCTCGGGCGGTAAGTGCTCCGAAACAACACTTCCAAGCAGAGCAGCACTGACAAAGTAATAAATAGGGTTGCGAACAAGTAAGCATGGATGACAATAACTACGTATCCTTATCAGATTTCCTGACCATTTTTAAAGGCCCGTGTTTGTAAAAGCGACCCCACCAAAGACTGCTGCGTCTCGAGGATCAAAAGTGGCCTTCCTCTGCCCCATAGGGTATGTGTGCTTCCATAAAGGCAGTTTTGTATTACATTCTAATATATTACTAGTATGAGGATGCCGTCCCGTACTATGAAAAGTGCGCGGGCGTTAGCGTCCCGAAACCACGCAAGGAGGACGACACTGTCCTCCCAAGCCTTTCTTGCGATCTGGTCAAAGATTTCCACTGTGGAGCGGGATTCAGCTTCCAGTTTTGCGAGATTGTGTACGGGGAACGGGATGTAAGTTCAGCATATATGTCCTAATTTCTCACAAAAGACTGACTCGACTATTTCTTAAACTAGGGTTGCCGAATGGTCAGTACTTCCACAGAGAATATATATAAAGTATACTAGGAGATTTATTTACAAAAACATCAAATATAGCGTGAAGAGTGTTCGAAACAACCCGAAAAGGATGATTGCTGTGGCGACTACAACGTGAAGGTAATTCCAAAATGCTTTTTAAGTGCTTGGATTGACTGTTCACTAACAATTGGCAGACTCAAGAAGCAGTCCGACGCTACTACAGCAAATGTCTAGGTACATGCAGCGTAGTAACAGACAAGATTGTGGAACGAGAAGACTGCCTTGCGGTCGGCGAATAATGTATAATCTGTCCTAGATTGAGACAAGAACTTCGCAGGACACGGCGAGCCTCGATATGCAGACACATGCCGCATCTCAACTAGCTTAGATTTACTAGACCTTGTACAGAGGACAATGAAACCAGGTCTCACAGGTGTTATGTATAGGGTTCCTATTATGGACTGTATTTATTCTAATACAAAACCTTCGTAACGCGTCTGACTATTCGTCTGTGTGTAGGTTGCAACTAGTAGTACCGTGACTAAGTGATTGTACTTTGCGGCAATATAAAAGCCGGCAGTTGTTTGAGGAGTAATTATAGTCTTGCTAACTTGAAAAAAAATGTGTGATTTTGACTATAACATTAAAGGTTTTGGGCTGAGGAGCCATCAGGCCATCATATAGGACAAGGGCTCAGTAGAGGGCTTGGAGTCAATAGCTCAATCCATCTAATAGCAGTCTTTTGTATTAAAGGTCCTTGCTTTTCCGCAAGGCCTATGACTCTGAGATGTCTTGTTTATATAAAACGGCGGTGAGCCTCATGCCCTAGGTCTCAATATGGTAGCCCTTATGTAACATCTGTGTGACAGTGTAATAGTCACACGCTTGCTAGTCAATATAGCCCAGATTTCTCTACATTATACTAACTACTACTAGATTTGTATACTCTGTACCTGACAGAAGACAAGACCAAAACTGCAGACTCAATATTATAATTAACCCTATAGTAATTGCCACACTTCGACTAGCATATTTGTTTTGAGCACTCTCGCTAAAATTCTATCCATGACACAATTACTCAACCTACACTTAAATAAGACTTGTGAATATGTGGTCTTGCGGCTCTCGATAGCAATGGCTGTCGTTATCTGCGGCGCATAGTCATTTCCCGAGATATAATCCCAGTAGGTTTCGGAGTGGATATGAAGGATCAGGTTGCATTGACCATCGATTGCGGGGGAGGGGCAAACAAAGGACGTGAAATAGTTGTATCGTTTTCTCTGCCCTCTCGGATCTAAGATACTATACATGTTGCACTGGTTTAGTTCAGCAATGTTTCTCATAAAACACGAATGTTATATATTCTACCCGGGGTCTTTCTTTGAAACGGAGAGCCATTTTTCAGCCCTAAATGAGGGGGGAATGCGACCGCTGTGAGCAAGCTTTAATTCCATTTACTAGATCGTACTTAGCAGGATTTATGCTACGTGGCGGCGAAGCGCGATAACAAACTAGGTTGGCTCCAACATGGTACTTCCTGAGATGACATGTGATTTTGCCAAGTTCGTATAGCAGCGCGAAATAATTCATGCTACCCCCTCTCTATTACAGTCTGCGGGTAAAACGGGGTCATTCCTGCAGACTCCATTATAGGGGGCTTCCTACATGTCCTCGGTAATATTATCAGGGTACGACTCCACGGACGTATAGCTGCCTTGGTTAAGAATTGGAGGCAAAACAGGAGAAGTACCCGCTAAAATATGTCTCACTTTGGCAAGATAATATGCTTCAAGATCATCAGCGTCTCTACCCCAGCGAATCAGTCTAGATGGTAGATACAGCCACAATTATGTTCTGGAGTGCGAATGGCCGTGTCTTATACCCACTGCAGCCCAAGAGTAATTCCATCGCTTAAAAATACGCTAAGAAGTTTAACGTTCGCTGCCCGTTTGTGACCGCCTGCACTGTAAAGTCACTTGCTGGCAAATTCGCTGCCCGTTTGTGACCGCCTGCAGGCACGGCTAAGGCACGTCGTCCCATTTTTGATCATCTACCTCGACTGCATCTCATGCTGTAACCGTGTTTACGCGTGAAACGGACCATTATTTCAGGTCTTAGAGAATGATTCACACATGTGTTATTGGTTGGTAACGTATCATGTCTCTCCAGCACATAACGGTCCAGAAGGGCCGAAATGCGCAACTAGTTTGGGAAAAAAATTCACATAAATCGGTTTCGGCTCTCGCTTGCTTTATAATCACTGCCCTGCCTGGTTTAGTAACTCATGGAAGTTTAGCTCATCATGATGGAACTGCGCATTAAGAAGCTCTTTTAGTACTTTGGAAGATTTTGGTGCAAATTTGTGCAGCTTTCGACTGCCACATTTCCGCGTCCAATGGATAATACAGAGGATAAAATTCTGATAAAAAGCGATATATTTTGTACCGAAAGCTAAATAATATGTCCATATGAGATATATCTTGCTATATTAGTATCATTTCAGTTCGAGTACCTATGGTTAACTTACTTTGTACCCCGTTGTATTTCCAGTCAACGTATTATATACTTCACCGTAATTTTAACACGTCGCTCTCGAGTATCGGGCTGAGTTTTGTTTGGTTATGCCCTGTTCCTCTTATTTAGCTCTCCTTGTGGGGGGATCTATGATATCCCAGACACAGAAGCGCCAGTAGAGAAGTTGAAAACCATTTCGCCTACATGTATCTAGGAATCAGGGCTCAACCCCAGTGTATTCAACAGCATACTGTCTCCTTTATCTGAAACCAAGGACAAGGAAAAGATCAATACCTCGAGGCTCCTCGAGCCCAATGGTTAAGGAGAGAATAAGCCAGATTCGCTAACTGGAGACCTGGCAGATGCAGGTCTTAGATACTGGACGTAGCCCGTGACAGCATGTATATTAACACCCCGAAGAACAAGTAGGTCTTGGTAGCACAGCATAAGTGTTGTTTCAGGTATACTATTAACATCATATGGACAGTAACATTGCGTACATTCTTGCGTTCAGCCCATTCATCGAGTATGCGGATGGGCCAAAACAGCTCTAGATTACCAAGAAGGCTGTCAGAAGCCACACAGAGGAAGCGAGAGCCCGGATGTGCCCGTTTATAAGCTGGATTTCGGAAATATCCGGCTATGGGCTGCTAT